CCATGCCATAAATGCGACCTTTATAAAGGCCACCCACTGTCTGTGACCACATAGCATCCTCATCTACTGACTCTGAATTCTGAGAAGATGCTTCCTCAAGCCTTTGAATATAGTCATCCTATAGTTCAGTTCAGATAATTAGATATTAGTTTGGAGAACTATTAAATAAGTCGCTAATAATAACATATATTATCAATAACTATGACTTACATATGTGGCCTGAGATCGTGTATCAACCCACAGGTTTTTGTCCTGCCTGCGAGTGCGTGTCTCCTTAAACAACTCTCCAGTAGTAGGTGGCTTCTTCAACGACTTCTCCTGCAATTGGAAATAAATCACAATCTCAAATATGAAATTATAGATAGAGTAAAGTGAATTTTAAAATCACATACCAAGTTCGCCTTAGTGCCAGCCAAAGTCGTAGACCCACCAGTATGCAGTGACCCCCTTTATTAGATGTCATGTTTGTCTTGTTCTTTACAGAGAGATTTTTAAACTCATCCGTACCCCAATACTCTTGCAAGGCATGAAGAAAGTTGGGTGCTATCCAATCAGCAGTAGAAGGGTCCTGGCGAGCCTCAGTGTATATCTGTCTTAGTCGCTTTGCAGTGCGACTCTTCCAGGCCTTGAAAATCATCTTTTCGTCCTGGGGGAAATGGAGAAGTTGCTCTACAGAAACACAATTTCATTAGAAGAGGTAAAAACAGTCATATGTAATTACACTTAGTTAAAATTAATACACTATTATTACCTTCCAATCTTTGAACCATTCCATCTTTGTATCATTTGACACCTTTGCAAAACTTCTGTAAGGCGCATCAAACATCTTCTTAATCGTATCTGTGACCTGATGGAGACCTTTCTGTGGTAGTATCCAACTGATAACACAATAAAATAAAACATAACTACTAACATTCACATTAAATACGCAATGTTAGGCATATTTGATTGAATTACTTACCAAGTGGACCCATCCCATCTCAAAGTTTCTAACGATCTCGATGATGCTTGAGTCTGTGATGACTGTTGCCCGCTTACAGATGGGATAGCAGTGGATCCATCTCCTGTGCCCTGTGTAGACTGTGTGGCCTGTGTAGTAGGGGGTGCAGAGTGTGAAACTCGCTGTACTGGAGGGGGAGGAGCAATATACCCAGAATTGGACACTATGATAAATTGCTCCTGTCCCCTAACCTGGGAGGTCTGCACTATTGCTGGTGTGGACGTCGAAGTCAGAGCGGTAGGTGAAGAAGTGTTGTCACGATCAGTTTGCTGAGTAACACCCTTCTTACCTTTACCTGCCATATCTGAATCAAACCATATATATGTTTAGAGACAAATACTATAATTTGTTTAAAATATGAATAATATTGGTGATAACTCAAATTAAATAATCATGGCAACATAGTAAATTGACAAACCTACTTACTTTACCTCATTTACTCTGATAGTAAATTGACAAATATGGATTTTTCATGCTCATTTCAGGAGGAAGATTAAAAGGTGTAACCACAATAGGCCAATAAGAATATGGTTTATTAAATTGATTGTTTGGAGCAAACCCATCAACACATAACCCTAACCTTATATTTCTAGGATCGGATGCAAACTCAGGATACACTTGATCAAAATGTTGTCAAGCCTGACCATGAGATGGATGAGTCATTATCCCATCACTCCTTTTATTTTCATCATGCCACGTCATGTAAGGAGCTGAACTCATAGACGCATACAACCTTTTTAGCCTAGGAATCAAAGGCAAATAATGCATTCTACTTTTCGGTACATCTTTTTGTTTACCACTTCTACCACCTCTTCTTGGTTTAAACCTAGGTTCTCCACAGAATTTGCAATTGGTCAAAACAGCATCATCTTTGTAATACAACATGCAGCCTTTGAAACAACAATCAATTTTGACTTCTTTTAATCCAAGTTTGGAAACTAATTTTTTGGCTTGGTAAAAGTCCTTTGGGATGGAGTCAGGTTCGAGACTAAACTCACTAATTAATGTAGCCCATTGATCAAATGAACTCTGACTTTGATTGCCTTCTGACTTTATGCTTAACATTCTTATTGCTAAAGATAACTCTGAATGCACACACCCATCCCATAAAGGCTTGTTTGCTGCTTCTAAAACATTATAAAACTTTGCAGCCTCTCCATTAGGTTCTTATTTAGCTTCAAAATCATGAAAAATTCCAAATTGAGGACCAACAGCATCATAAACCATTTCTTGATAACGACAATTGCTTTCTTCCCAACTTATATTACCTACATGACCACCTGATTGTAATATATTTGAATTACCTACTTGATTTTCTAAATTAACTTCTTCCTCATGCTCAGTCCATATCCAATAATCATGTTTAAATCCAAACTTATACAAATCATATCTAATTGAATTAATATCCAAAAATTTTCTACACTTGCACTTAGAACATGGACACCTAACGACCTGATTGGTGATGAATTGCTGCGAATTACAACAGACGCGTATAAATTCTTCTACACCCTCAAAGAATTCAGGTTTTATTCCCCCCCGACTTGGGTGCAACCTATCATACATCCACTGACGATTTTTGAGATACATCTTCCTCAAGAACTATATAAACCTAATACAAATATACAATGTGGTATCAACCTTCTAAAATACATTACAGAAATTTTTAATATAAATTTTGGCAGAATCTCCCCTAATACATGTTAATTTCCTTACTTTTGTTTACCATTTTTTTTACAAAAATGAAAATTTCACCTAAAATCAACTAATAAATTATATAACAATAAATTATTTGATACATCAAACATAAACACATCACAATCCTAAACCGTTCTAGAGCACATCTCCTTGTAACTCCACAACATGCATATTCTACAAACTTCACAAATACAAACAATCCCACAGCACACAATAATCAGGTTCGGAGAAGGACCTCTACGCCCTTCCCCCCAGTCATACAATCTTCAATCCTACAACTCTATCTTAGAAATTTTAAGTCTCTAAAAAATATAAAAAATTAAAAAACTAAACCGATTAAAAGTTAGAGTATCGTACCAGGAATACAATGATGCAAAAAAAACTTTCAAATGGTTGCTCTAATCACTCGCAATAGCCAAAACACTGAGCTCCTAGAGAGAGAGAGAGAGGGGGGGGAGCGAGAGAGCGAGAGAGAGAGGGTTCTGATAATGGGTTTAATGAAACGGTGCGTTTCAGGTGGCAAATTACAGAAGGATTTTTCCGTCTGTAAATGCGTCAATCCAATTTACAGACGAAAAAATCCGTCTGTAATTTGCCACCTGAAAGGTTAGTTAAAACCGCCATATTTACAGACAAAAAAAATCTGTCCGTAATTTTCTGCTATAATATTTCCTCCTATTTTCAAATTACAGACGGAAAAATCCGTCTGTAATTGCTGTCTATAACGTTTGGCGCCAAAAGGCGGGCTAAATACAGACGGATTTTACAGACAGATTAAAATCTGTCTGTATTACAGATGGATTTTACAGACAGATTTACAGACGGATGTTTCAGAAAAAAAAAAATTATTCTACAAATCCGCCTGTAAAGCTGTCCGTAATACAGAAGGATTAAAATCCGTCTGTAAAATTCGTCTGTATTAAGCACTTTTCTAGTAGTGAACCCTTACAAATCTTCGAACAAGTTAGCAAGTTATATGCAACATGCATTGTCTTCTTTTAATTAAATATACTTTTAAGTAATATTTATTTTAAATAATTTATCATTTATACAATCAAAATTAATAATTTATTTTGTTATAATTTATTAACACAATTAATATTTAATTCTAAATTATGATTAAAAAAATTATATAAGTGAGACTATTATAATTGAAGATATATTTTGTTTTCAAAAATATTAAATAATTGAGATTATATTTATTTTAAATATTTAAGGTTAGTTGGAGTTTATGTTTTAATTTTGATATTTAAAGTAATTTGATGATGTTTTAAATTTAAAATTTATGTATAAATATTTGATATTTTAAATTTCAATATATTTAAAAATATCAATATATTTTTTAACATTTATTGCATATTATTTTTTAAAAAATCGCAAAACAAACCGTTTGATATTCAATACCTGTCAACCATTTTACCTAATGATACCCTACCTTGCAATGTGCAACTTTCACAATTGTAAAATGATTTTTTATTACCTACATTCTATAAATAAGAAAAATGAAAAAAGTATAACAATAAAGAATACAAATATTTTAATAGTTAAAGATGCAAATAATTATAAACTAATATCATATAAAATAAGATAAATTTAAGTAAAGAAGAAAGGCTCTTGAAATAATTAATATCATGATAAACAGTTTAACTAAAAAATATAGAATCACCACTTTCTATTTTACCATAAAATACTTTGTTTATTATTACTATTTTAACAATTTTGTACATAAAAATATTTTTTAAAGCAAAAAATCACAAATTGTTTTAAATTTTAAATGATATCGCTTACTGATAACGACTGCTACTAGTTTGATAAAATATCGTATAAAATAAAGTTTAAATATAAAACTTTTTACTAGATAAATCAATATCATAAACACGAATACAATAAAACTTTACATTATAGTGTAAATTTTGAAGTTCTTAAAAAACGTTTAATCAGATTAATACATAATTAATTTTTATCATTTATTAAATAATATTATTTAAGTATTTTTATTATATATTTTTTTATCATTTTGATTTTTTCACAATTCTTTTGTTAATATTTTCTTTTGCATTTCTAAAATATTATTTTTATGATTTCTATTTTTTTTTGTCAATCTTTTCTACTATTCATTCTAATATAGATTTTGCTACAATTTTTATTTAATTTTTATATAATATTATATTATTTAGTGATATGTATTATGATTTTTTCGATTTCTAATATATAATCATTGGGAAAAAAAAATTATAATATCATACGTTACGCATTATATTATTCTGATACTATGATGCTGTTATTTCATGTGTCTATATTTCATATTTAAGTCATAAGGAAGCAATGGTTTAGGGTTTGGTTGGGATGGCGAAGTTCAATGTGGTGCAGAAGCGAAGGAGAGCTCTAATAGCAGAGAAGAAGAGACAGGTTCACGGAGACCCATCCACCGGCAAGCTCAAAATCAAGGACCAACCCCTTTCTCTATCTGGAAAACGCAAGCGCAAGCTCTTCAAAAGATGGCGCCGGGTACTCTCTCTCTTCTCTCGCTCGAGCCTGAGAATTATGCTTACTTTCTTTTGCTTTTGCGTTTTCACTTTTCAGGAGCAAAAAGAAGCCCTACAGGATGGTTTGGTAAGCATGGAAGATGTTCAAATGGCAGTTGCTGAAGGTAGCTGCAATTCATTCTCTAATTTTTCCCTATATTTTTTTTAATACAATGCGATTCTCTTACTTTCGCTTTTGTCATGGACGAATAAAATTTTATGTATTTGGTATGCTAAACTAAAACCCAAAATACATGTTTGATGGATTCGCTTAAGCTGATGTTCTTTGATTTTGCGAGCAGGGGATACCAAAGATACCCGTAAATCTTCAGGAAAAATTCACCTGAAGAAGAGCGTGAAACTAAAACAGCTGAAGCGCAAAGGTTAGTCTGCTGTGCTTAAGTTTTTTGTTCTGTCTTGCACTAGTTTGTGTGTATGGGTACCGGAGTATGGAAAATTTTCCTAAAAGTTGGGGTACACATGCTCTTTTATGCACTATCCTTGATTAATTATTGAACTTGAACTAGTCCATGAATAAAGATGCATAAAGGAGCACTGACACGAATAATTTGGAGTGAAGACCTCATTAACTGTTTACAAACAACTAATTGAAATGAATTTCTTGCCTTAAGAGTCGACCAATGTATCAATAGTCTTCAACAGAACTGTTTCTGATTCAATGCAGTTATTATAATCATTAGCAATCCCCTTTGAAAATCTGTTTAGTCGTTCATGGCTAAGGCTATACTAACTTGCCTTGTTTTATGAGATGAACTAGCTTCTCAATATATGCCTTCTCCTTATGTAAAATTTCAGTTTGAAGGGCATTATAAAATTAGGAATATAGCTGAAGATATTTGTTGTATACACGATTGCTTTGACAACATATGAAATGTGTTAGAAATTAGAACTATTTTCAGTTCATGTATCACATGCTAAAATGATTTTAGTTGTAGTACCCTGAGTCTATAGAGTGTCTATATATGTATGGATGTTTTTAATAATGGAAATACTGAAGAAGAAACTGTTTTCATTCTCTCTAAAATATTCTCCTCCATATGTAGCTCCATCCTGAATCTCCCACTAAATTTAACAGAATGCTAGCAACATTGAGAAGCAGAGTCAGAAAAAAGCCTATCTATTTTCCTCAACTCATGATATATTTACAAGTTGTATTAGTATTTTTTTTTTCTCCATTTCATCCTTGCAGCCCTTTTTCTCTATTCACAATACCATTCCAATGTAGCAGTGAGTGGATTTAAGCTTCTCACTGTCTTAGAAACTTGAGTGCTCTGGTGACTAGTATCTTTGAGCCTTGTTGTATACTAATTCTAAAGTTTAGCCCAAAGTTCATTTGTTATAAAATGATATATCTTATATCTTAGATCCTTGATAGTCTTAACAAGTTTGATCTCACCTTGTAATATGATCAATACTAAAAAAACTTGTACCACTATCTTTGAGTTGGCAAGGCAAACATATTCTGTGAAAAAGCTTATTTCAACGTTTTTTCATTTAGCTTATCAAAATAAGCTCTTTTTAGTTTACGTTAAAAAGTTTTATAGTCAAATTTATGGTATAAATCCCTTATGTAATAGGAACTCATTGAATAAGGGCCTAATTTAGCTATTACCCAAACTCACCCTTAGAATATACAAAAGGGTAAAATATATTTTGGGACTGAATGGATGAAGATTGGACAAAGACATTTCAAGTAAAATTTACCGCTGTGTTACATTAGAATTTAGAATGACATTTGTATCAAGCTTCACAAATTATATTAAGGGTTTGAAAGATTCCCGCTGGAGTTTGATTTAATCTAGTCTAGATTAAGTCAAGACATGTTTTCTCTGCTTCGGGCTTACTCAAGTGAGGATTACCTTCTAGAATGAGAAAAAACATGAAACCAGAGACAATGGGGTTAGCTTTGAGGATATAGAGGGGACGGTCCATACTACTATAGCCATCTGCTGTGTTTGGGATGGATTCAAGAGCTGAGCCATTCAACACACGATGACGCATGCCCTAGCTGCATTTGATCATGTCTGAAGTTGAAATACACACACACACACATAGAAGTAATGAATTTGGTTGTACTGTAAATTACTTGTACACTTATGCCTTATTGTGGTGCCAGTCCGATGTCGTGTTCACAGCTACAATACTAGAGGTAAGATAACTGTTACATCAATCAATCACATAGGCAAAATGATAGGATGAAATGGATTTGATTATATAGGATCTGGTGGTAGCTGTGTAGAACTTTAGTGATTGCATAATGAGTATGCCAAGAAGGTTTGGCAAAGTGGGAACTTAAGGGTACAAAATACAGAAATAGTCGTGCTCTTTTAAAAGGTTCAATTGTAGGTAAGATTGAGTAATGTATAACTTCCCAGTTGGGGAGTGGAACATTTTAAAAATAACCTTAAATTGTACAAAATGTTGTGCATTTTAATGTTTAATTAATATTTATGTTGACATTGTGCAGGAAAGAACAACAGAAAATCTGATGAGCCCGCTGCTGATATTTCGGCTGATGCAATGGTGGAGTAAATGTGATAAGTTTTCATATTCTACATACATTGTTATTTTGCTGTCCGGTGGAGATTGGAGCTGCGCAGGAAATGCATGGGGAAAAAGGGGTTGGGGGGGGGGGGGTGGAATTTTATTATCTTGTTGGTAGGGTGGAGGATAGAACATAGAAAGAGGTAAAGATATGATGGTATGAAATGTTGTAACCTTTTAATTGAGTGATTAATAGCTCTTCATATTTTCTTTCTTTTATTAACCAACCTGAATTGATGAATGGAAGTCTTATACTATAGAATAGCGAAAATGATTCTAATCTTGACTGCACAACATACCCGGCAATCGAAAATCATGTGTGACGCACACGGTCCAATGATCTTGGATAGTACGATGAACTGCATCAATAAGATGGGAGAATTAGTTTGGTATTTAAAATTAGGGTGATAATTGCTCGTTCAGCGTTAAGATATTGATAGTGTGAAGTTAGGGTGTTGGGGAATTTTATTATTTTCTTACATCAAATGTCATGTTTGATTTGGACTAAAATTGTTAATCGGAAAAATTCCTTGATTTTATATAGATGTCATTTTAACACGAAAGAACCTGTTCTAATGTCCGGGTTTCGTTGCCCCATTTTGTCCAAGGGCTATCTTGGGTATCACGAGGAGCTTTCTTTTTGAAGATGACAGTGATAGTGATCAGAGTGCTAATATAATAGCCTTCTTATATTTCAGAGTAGGTGGAGACACAAGATAATATATGGTTTGCAGTACGTTTATATGTTCTTCAAATTACTACTATGGTTGTATTTTTGTGTAAATATAAACGTCAGACGACCACTAACTTTTATAATAGACAGCCACTTAAGAGGCAAAATCTTATGATAAACAACCAATAATAAAGAAATCTGGATCCGGCTATTTTTGTGAATAATGGTGCACTGAAATTACCCCCTTGAAATATTGCATTTATTCTCGAGCTGATACTCGGTGAGTTAGATAACTTTACGTGGCACATGACGAAGTTTTATCCACTTTTAGCTTTCAAAAATTGACTAGATTGCGTTTGTGGGACCTACAGTGTTGCATTATTTTAATCTCAAAATAGATGTTTATTCACACTATAGTCTGAAACCTCACTGATCGTGTTTAAGTAAGTTCAAATAAGTCCTAATTTGTTGATCTCTTTTTCTATGGCATTTAAAAATCTTACATAACAATGTACTTAAGAGTGGTGGAAAACTGAAGTGGTTGCAAATAGTGGGGTTCCTCAAGTAGCATGTTCTATTGTAAATTGGTATTAAATTGAAGTTTGATTTATCTTAAAGGCTGAAGAGATCATTGATATATTTTCTTAAATCTTACATTACATCTTTGGGATGACACTCCATAATTAGAGGAAAAGAAAAGAAGGGAGGGGTTCATCTTGTCCGTTCTTTTTTGTACAAGGGAGAGTAAGAATAGGGTGTCACAGGTATTGAGTGAAGCGAATTGTATTGTCTCTGAAATTAACCTTACCCATTATTTACTTGCGTAAATTTCTCTCGAATTTTGTGATTTGGTGTTAGAAATATGGTGTCTATGACCAAGAGAGAATGAATGGATGATATAAATGTAGGAGCTCCGTGAATTTCTTATTCTCTCTCTCCAAATTTAAAATGGGCAAAATGGGAAGTGAGAATCCAACGGTCCTGATTCCGTGAGAAGGTTGTTATATTAATTTGAATAATTTGGTGCATTTTGTCACTAACACTGAGAATCTCTCTTCCATCCTCTCCTCTCCTCTCTCGCCCTCGCCCTCCGCATTTCCCAAGGTAGGTATTCTTCGCGCATTCTCATCGCCTCAGCAATAGCATCAATCACATCACATTCTGAAATTTTCAATTCATCTACGCCTTGTTTACTGATACATTTCGATTTTATTAATCAATTCTCATTGCCATTGCGTTTGAGTTATTTAGATTTGTAGCGGATGGGGCTGGATCTGTCATGTTAGGGTCATTTGCGCCGTTAATCTCTATGCCAGCTTGTTGGCTGTTTTGTAATTACTCATAAATTGCATGCTCCTTGTTCTGCGTTTCCACGGACACAATAAATCTAAAACCAAATTGATATATCATTACGGCATCTGTCATCTGTCTTGGACATGTACAAGGCTTGATTTATTTTTTATTTGTTCTATATGTGGATAATTTATTTGCGAGTGAATTCTCGGTGTTTCGATGATGAAACTACGCAGTTGAATAATTTGTTGTTTATCCAGCAGAGCAGATATTAGAAGATGGCAGACGCTGAGGATATTCAACCTCTTGTTTGTGACAATGGAACTGGAATGGTTAAGGTACTGAATGGATCTTTTTCCGATTGTTCCTTTTCTTGGAAATTATTTACACTTTCAATGGAATTGCAATTTATGTTTTCAGGCAGGATTTGCTGGAGATGATGCCCCGCGTGCTGTGTTTCCTAGCATTGTAGGTCGTCCTCGTCACACTGGTGTGATGGTTGGCATGGGCCAGAAGGATGCATATGTTGGTGATGAGGCACAGTCTAAACGTGGTATTCTGACTCTTAAGTACCCCATTGAGCATGGTATTGTTAGCAATTGGGATGATATGGAGAAGATTTGGCATCATACCTTCTACAATGAGCTTCGTGTGGCCCCAGAAGAGCATCCAGTTCTGTTGACGGAGGCTCCTCTCAACCCCAAGGCTAACCGTGAGAAGATGACCCAAATCATGTTTGAGACTTTTAATGCCCCTGCTATGTATGTGGCCATTCAGGCTGTCCTTTCACTTTATGCTAGTGGTCGTACAACCGGTAAGATATTCTTCATAACTATCTCGTTTTTATTAGGTTCCGGTTGTAGTTTTAGCTTATTGATAAGATTGAGACTCGCATTATTAGTTTGCTCATCGACCGGTTCGCTTCTTCGCATATTATTATGTAATCGACGAGTTTTCTCATTTCCTCATTTCCAATACAGTGATCTATTTTCCTTCTTTTTGCAGGTATTGTATTGGATTCTGGTGATGGTGTCAGCCACACAGTCCCTATCTACGAGGGTTATGCCCTCCCACATGCCATCCTTCGTCTTGATTTGGCTGGTCGTGACCTCACTGATTTCTTGATGAAGATTCTGACTGAACGTGGATATTCTTTTACCACCTCAGCAGAGCGTGAAATTGTGAGGGATATGAAGGAGAAGCTGGCTTACATTGCCCTTGACTATGAGCAAGAGCTAGAGACAGCCAAGACCAGCTCCGCAGTGGAGAAGAGCTATGAGTTGCCTGATGGGCAGGTTATCACTATTGGTGCTGAGCGTTTCAGGTGTCCAGAGGTGTTGTTCCAGCCATCCATGGTAGGAATGGAAGCAGCTGGCATTCATGAAACAACATACAACTCCATAATGAAATGTGATGTTGACATCAGGAAAGACCTGTACGGTAACATTGTCCTTTCAGGAGGTACAACCATGTTCCCAGGCATTGCTGATAGAATGAGCAAGGAAATTTCTGCATTAGCTCCCAGCAGCATGAAGATCAAGGTGGTAGCACCCCCTGAGAGAAAGTACAGTGTCTGGATTGGAGGTTCTATCTTGGCATCCCTAAGTACCTTCCAGCAGGTCTGTTCTGTTATTTAATTCATCTATTTCTCTGAATATGGTTGTGACCTGCCTTTGTGTGCTAGCTAATAATACAAAATGTTGTTTGAGTGCAGATGTGGATTGCTAAGGCAGAGTACGATGAGTCTGGACCATCAATTGTGCATAGAAAGTGCTTCTAATTTGTTCGAGTAATAGGGTTATTGAAGGAAAAGACTGCTGCTTTATTCCTCTGGAAGAAGTGCTGCTTGTAACCCTTTCATTCTATTCTAACTTTTTGTTATCCGTTCATGTTATTCTCTGGAGTGATGATTTGGAGAAGGCGAGGAGTTTGTCAAAATGGTCCAATTTTTCAGTATTATTATATATTTTGATTTTTTTTTTCGGCATTCATTATGCGTCTCAATTAGCTGAATTGTCAATTGAACTACGCATGCATGCCTGTTCTTTGTAATGCAAAATTATGATCTCGATCTTTTGATTTACATATTTTGATAGCTGTTTTGCAAGGCGAATTGGCTAAGCAAATTTAGGCTAATATCATTGCTATTAAGTAAGATATGGGGTTATGATCTATGTTTGAGCCTATGAAAATTTAGGGAGAATTTCTCTGCATACCAGTCCTGTATGTACCATGGATATGCGCACAAGCTCCCCAATAAAAGATTGTCCTTGGATCCTGAAATCTTGCACTAGCTCATAAGAATTTCTGAAATTGTGATTTCAAATCTTTTTGGATATGGATCCAAGTGGATGATAACCAACTAATGGTGGACCAAGCATATTAAAAGATATAAAATATCCTTAATTTTACTCTAAATCTTTTAGGAAACAAATTACTGTCAAATGAAATTTTAAGATGCTAAGCAGGAAATTTAATTTATATTTTTAAGAAATTATAACACTATTTATTAAAATACATACTGATTTAAATGACCATTTACTTAATATTATTTTTAATAAAATCTTGTAATTAATGATAAAAAAATTATTATATATTTTTGTAATTTATACGTTCAAACTCTACTTTTTAAAAAAGTTTCTCTCTCATTTTTCATCGTAGAATTATATACTACACGGATTAAAGAATTTTTTAACATGACAAATCAAGAAAATAACAAAATTGATTAATATTTATTCATATTTAAATAATTTCTTTTGCATAAAAAATGTTTATCTTTGTTGGGAAGGAAATAATTTAAATCAAGAAAAATCTTTTTTATCTTTTGCATAAAAAAATAAATGACAAAGACTGATGCATATATATATATATATATATATATATATATATATAATTCTAGTTTTTGTTGGGAAGGAAAAAAAATAAATGAATTTTATTAGAAATAATTTCCATTAAGTTAAGAATATAATTTTAACGATAGTTTAAGGTAATTAATAATTGGCCTTTTGAATTTAATGAACATTATATTTTTAGTAAAAATAGTTGTTTTGTTCTTTTTTATAAAATAACTATAATTAAGCTGTCTAAGATATATATATATATATATATATATATATATATATATTAAAAAAATGTTAATGTCATAAAAAAATTAAATATGAGAATTTTAAAAATTAATTTTTTCCTATTATTTGAAACAAATATTAAACATTACTTATTCTTTATTCTTCTACTCTTTCAATTTTTTTATAAAATATATATTTTTTACTTTATTGAGCCTTAATATTATTTTTACCTAAAAATTTTAAATAATCTTGAAAATATATAATATTTTATATTAATATACTAGTGTTCGTGTTCATGCAACTTACAATATAAATTATAATTTTTAAGTTAATAATTATAATATATAATATCAAATATTTTTAGTAAATTTTTCATATAAATTTATTTTGTTTAAATTCTTTCAATTTATTTCTTTCATTAACTTATAATTAGTTTACAACATAAAAAATGTAAAATAAATTTTTGAGTATTATGTGTGAAAGATAAAAAGATAATATATTTTACAACTGATAACTAATCCTTAATGAAATATATGAATATATATTTTATATTTTCCTCTATTTAATATATATATATATATATATATATATATATATAGAGAGAGAGAGAGAGAGAGAGAGAGAGAATGATTTTTTTTTATCATTTATTAAAATTTAATATATTTTAAATTTTTTTATTTAAAATATAGAAAAAAAAACCAAAAATTGAAAAACTTAATAAAAAGTAATTAAAAATATATATAGATGAAATAAATTAAACTTTAAGAAAAAGAAATCAAGGAAGTAATTAAATTAAAGATATTCCTAAAAATATAAATTCAAGAAGATCTCATATGACAATTTATTATTATTTTTCAACATATGAACATAAATAAAAATTTAAAAGATTAAAAATGTAAAAAAAATATACATAAATAATAAAAATAATATTAAATATTAATTGAAATAATTAAATTGAAATTTTTTAAAAAATCATTTGATAAATTTAATGGGAAAAATTTTAATATTATAATACAGATGCTAATAATTATTTTCTTACTCAATTTGTTTCATTGAATTTATTTTAATTGAATAATATTCTTATAATGCTATTTACCTTAATCTCTCGTAGCAAAGGTTGACTAATTTATCAATTTAAAAATTACCAATAATATCACAGGTAATAAAAAACTGATTATCCAATATTTCCTTTTAATATTAATATTAATCAAAATTAAAATAATAAATTTATTACCTAAAAAGTTTTATATTTGTAAAAAGAACACAAAAAAGGATAATTATTAAAAATGTCAATTTAGGACCCATTTGTTTATATATTTTTATGAAAATTTTAAGAAAAAAATAAAGTCAAATTATAATAGTAAAAACTTTTAAAATATTATAGGGAAGAGTAACATACGACATTTAAATATGATAGAATGGTGGTGCTCACTATCCAAAATTTTTTTCCATCATTAATCCTTAAAAGAGAAATATAAAATTGCCCAGCAAATATAATAGAATTCACTACAAGGGCACACAAGAAAAAACTAAATGGGTGTGGCATCAAATAGTATTATTGTCAATTAATACTGAATAAGGGTGCTAAACAGGCAAATTTAAAATTTGCATTGCCTAAACAAAATGAGAATTGTAGAATATATATAGCGGCGGCAAGGCATAAATACAAGAGACATAAACAAGTGTGAAGCTAATATCAAAGATGGAGAGTGTGGCTGCTGAGCGAAGGAGCGCTGAGGGAAAGAGGAAAAATGAAACATTCTCGGAAGAAACAAAAGACACTGTTTCTAAAATAAAACGCAATAGATATCGCCGCCGCGCCGGAAATGAACCAACGTTGTGCACAATCCATGATCGGACATCCCCCGGCTATGGGTGGCTGCTCCCCGGGTGGGTAGCCGAAGAACGTCACATGATGTCTGGCAGGGTTTATAGGGTAATCTCATCTAACTCTTTCTTTTCGTTTATATTCACTTCATTTTATTACAAATCGTTTATATAACCTTGGATTTTATTTTTTATCTATTTCGATGTATCGATTTAGCCGTGTTTGGTACTAATCTTTAAAAATTATAAAGTTTTTTTTTTTCAACAAAACAATTATAAAGCCAGGAAACTGAAATTACAATTGAGATTGAAAGTTCGTAAGTTAAGAAGTGATGATAGGATAGAAAACAACAGCCCAAACACTTCACTCTTTTGAGAAAAAAAAATGATGAAAATTCTTCAGACACAGACAACATGTTGACCATTTCATTATTAGTTTACTGTTTCTTGTATGTTAAAATTGCATATGATAATGTTAAATTTATATTATTTGCATTGTGTATTGATGTGATACAATATGATATATTATACAAAAAAATATTAACCTCTATATATGCAGTATGCTAATGTTAGAGTGCTCCAAATAATTCTTATCAAATATGAAATCAAATAAGAAATTGTAAGAAAATAAGCAATCAATCCTAAGAAATATTTAGCGATATAAATTATATTCAAAGATATAATCAATAGATTATGAGATTTTTTTAATACTTATTCTAATGATTTCTTGTGCAGTACTACTATGATCCGGAAGGACATCAATATAGAAGCCAAAGTGAGGTTACAGCTGCATGGGAGAAATCTGGGTTGGTTGTCATTGACAACTAACTATGAAGATATGTTAGACTTTGGTCGTTGATGGCACTAGGCATCTTATGTTTCATTACTTGTGTGCCCTAGATATTAACAAGTATATTCCATTTCATAAACTGAATGTTGTGTTTAAATAAAAATTCATTTTTACTGAAATGAAGCTGACAATTAAGTTGATCATTCAAAATGCTTTTAAGCCATACATATAGTCTAAGATTAATAGTAAAAGGCACTACAGTAAAATATTATTTGTTCACCCAAACAAATAATTGACCCATTTACTAAACAATATTCATAATCAACTGGAGATTTATTCCAAACGTTGTCTTTCATACTTAACAATATTCATAATGCGAGTACCTTGACATCTGTAGTTCGAAATTAACCAAAAAAGAAAGGCTTGTGTATATCTTGTGCTTTTGCCCTTTCGTCTCGACACATGGTTTCATTTTGCTTATAAATAAAAAATTAGCTTAAGAGAGTAATAATGTTCTGATCTTTTAAAGAATATTTCCCTCGTACTCTTAAATAACACTTAACATTTCACACAAGTCCACAAGTCCATGAAACCCCAATCAACCCACAACAGTCACATACAAGAACGCTTATGTATAGATATTTCATGTCAATTAGAAATATAATTAGAATATTTTTTTATATGGTTTAACGGATCATTATTTTATGAATTAATTTTTTAAAATGAGTTAGGCTTCATTGTTTAATATAATAAAATAGTATTCAATTAATGTTGGACCAAACTTTAGGAAACGAGTTTAGGTCATTTTTTTAATAATTACTTCAACATAAATCCAAAATCGTCAAGCATCAACGTTATGGTGGAGAGGCAAACGCATCACAGACTGCAAATACACATCTGAATCATTATCGTAACAGAAATATTACTATGTTATTTCGTTTGTTTATCATTTCTGAAAGCATATTTGATCGAAAAGACTTTTACTAGAAATTTTATAAATATATGCCGTAAATTTCTGAAAGAACATAAAGTTGGCACAAATATAAAAAAGCACGTAAGGTTGAAATGTAGTTTTGAAAGTCACCTCTATATGAATGAAAGCACAAAATGGATGTGGCTGAGAATGTTTTAAAAGTTCATTAGTAGGCTTTAGCAGAAGCTTCTTTTACAAAGATTGTCTTTGGTCATTTTAAACTTAAAGGGCGCTGCTGTCTACCATCCTTCATAATTCGACATCCATATCTTTTGGCATTAGTTGTCCAAAAAGTTAGCATGCGCCCCTCTTTATTATTGTGCAATTATGCAAGATATACATATATAAGATAAAGTTGAAATGACCCAACACACACACGCACATATATATATTACCCTAAACAAATTTAATTAATAAAAGTTTTGATCATGTATGATTGCAGTTATCTTATTAGATTCAAATACACTAGTCCTCCGGTTAATAATAGCAGTGAAAGCTATATTTTAGGGAGGTGTGTTGTTGGCTTCGTCATTCCAATAACCATAAAGCCAAAATTTAAGGATATGTGTTCTAAAATTGTTTTCAACTTAAATTGTGTGGAAGATTGTTTAGGTACAGCCGGGGCCTGTGATTAATTATTATGTAATTTTGTTGAGGTGTATTGGGTAATAAGAAACAAATAATAATTATTATTATTCTTAAAATAAGTTCAACTACATGCATACTTAAATCATTATCGTGTATGTGCATTTGATGATCTTTATCAAAATATTACTTTTTTTTTATATAAAATAAACAATTATTCATATAAATTTTATATTACTTATAAAGTTACAATTTTTATTGATTTTTAATAATTTTTATTATAAAATCATAAAATTTAATGTATGGATAATATTAAACATTATTATTTTTAATAAGAAAAAGGATAAATTTAACGGTGTTTTCGGTTTTGAACTAAGGGACAGTAAATGAGCATTATAGCATGGCACTTGAGCGTGATCTGAGAAAAGTATGGTTAATAGTTAGATTTACATGATGGAACATGCATTGACGTTGTCGTCGCTAAAAAGGGAAACAAAGTTCTCTTCGGAAGGAGCATTGGATGAGGATGAGGCAGGAAAAGCCTGAACAACGTTTCTAACATATCCTGAGGGTGCTCTTCTGTCATAGGCTCCTGGGGCATATGGATAGTACACCAAATGCTGTTCAACGTATGGCCAAAATTGAGCTCTTGTTTTCCCTGTGCTCCTTATCCTCTTCAACACCTTGTTTGGATCCACATAGCCGCTTACTATCACCTTGCTTTGCTTTCTGTTCACCTCCACTGATTTCACTCCTGCACAAAATTGTAAACCCAACTATCAAAATGCATATTTATACATAAATATTAAAGATAGTTGTAAGTGGTTTAAGGGAACCTTTTAAGGAAGTCACTGCATTTCTGACTCTTCGCTCGCAACCATCGCAGTCCATTCTGACTTTGATCTCAACAGTCTGAAATAGATAGCAATTAAGAGGAATGAAACAAAGGAAATAGGCTTGTTGAGTTATGGGTTCTACTTGCTACCTGCATTGGTTTGCGCTTGGTCCTAGTGCTGGTTACAGTGCAAAAGTTGGAGAGGTAATCAAGTGCACCCATTATGCTTCTCTTTTTTCTAGAAGCAAATTGCAAAGGAAAAGGGAGAGAAAGAGTGTGTGTGTGTGATGACTAATGAGAGTGAGAATGATGAATGGTGTATATATAAGATGCTCAAAAAGATTGGGAGGAATAAGGTGAAAACACAGATCTTCAATATATTATAATCGTAATTATTAATGGGGACATATGCTCGTTAAAGCCCAGCAAATGCCATAGATAATGAGAGACGGGTGCAACGCTGCATTAGACTTCCCTCTATATTTATGTTGTCTTTCATTTTGCTTTGTACGATAAGTGTACGTGGCTTAATTTCTCAACAGTTCATTGATAAATTAATCCTCCAATAATTCATTTCATCATATGATAATATCCGTTGTTTGATATATTGAATTGAATGGTTTGATATCTTAAAGGGCATGTTTGGATGGTTATTTCACTTTTACAATTCTTTTTTTTTTCTAAAATAAAAACGCACTCAAAAAGTTACAATAGAGAAAACTACTTTTAAAAACCAATTGAATACGCACGGAAAAAATAAAAAGGAAAAGAAAGGGCCATAATTTTTTAGTTTTATCCCTGGTCCCTGAGTTGGTTTACTATGATTGTGCCTTTCTATTCTGATTAGTGCTTTGTCAGCATACAGGGAGAAAATGAGAGAAAAGGGAAAAGAAAATAACGAAAAAAATGCTTTTCTTTCTAATTATTTGGGAAAAGAGGAATAAGAAAGAGAGAAATTATGAATATTCATTTCTTTTATCCAGTTGGAAAGAAAACTAAATGGAAAAAATTGCATTTGCATTAAATGACTTTTCTGTTCTTTTAATTTGATGATGAGTACGTATAACTGAGCAATTTTTTTATTCAAACAAATTTTTTCTCTTTATTTTTTTTTTTCTCATGACGAGTAAAGAAAATTGAGCCTCGCTATTTTTTTCCTCTATTCCTTATTTTCTTTCCTCAACCAAACAAGTAAAATGTAAAATGATATAATTCTCTCATTTAACTTAATATTATATGATATGAAGCAATGAACAACCTAATTAAGAATTTCAAAAGTTTGCTATATGCAAAATGTACACAAATTACTCTGATATCTGTACTGACTTCCGACCTCATGTAACAGTTAAATCCGCCATGCATGGCCTTGGCATTCTACTTTCAAGAGCAATACACTATTAAGTGCACAACTCAGATTAAAAATTTAAAAACTATTATTTGAACAACTTATCGCATTCAAAAGGACAACGCGAGTGAACCATTAATTCGCATTATTAATTATGATTCCAAAGATTATCTGCTTGATATCATGAATTTGATTTATAGTATTTTCTTTCGATTGCTTCCAGCTGTATTATGCTTGTGAAACATTTTATTAGGGAAATAAATATAAATATTAGTCATTCTACATATCAAATATGGGCATTATTGTATTCTGAAGGAGATAAGATATGGTTTTTAAGATGTATTAAGTATAAAATAAAACAAGAGCGGCGCTACGGCGGGACCGATCAAATTGAAGCAATCATCGATTTGAATTAATACTTTCCGCAAGCATAACATATTGACAAATGATTATTGGTCCGATCCCAATCCCAATGCAAGGCCGAATAATTGACCTAATTTGTTATGCTTTGTTGCCTACCGAAAGTGTAAAGTTGCTCTCTCTTTTGCGCCATTCCACAATCACAACCCTTTGTTGACTTCTTTGGTTATTGATTCACATATTTCCTGCCAACATATCAACAACTAAACAATTGTTTACAGTGCATTTCTCTCTCTCACACATGCATGGGAATCACATCAGTAACTGCATTTATCTATCATGCATGGGAATCACAAAGTCGGAGTAAATGATGCAAAAAACGAGTATGCATGCTTGAGAAGCCCTTTTACTATAGAGAATTGCAAGAGTTGGTAGTCATATAAAATTGGTTCAGAAAAAAAAAAATACCAAATGAAGTAAGAAAATAAAATTTGGATCAAATCAAAACAAAAAGAATCGATTGCCCGAACAGCCGAAAAATAATTTAAAATACGGCTTTCCATTTGATAAACCACCTCTCATAATTTCTTCAGCTTCTGCCCCCGCAGCCCATTCCAGAAAGCAGCTGCATTTACTACCTTTTTCCCAGGAAGCTGAACTTCTAATACCTGACAATGTTACAACAGCACTGAATTCAGAAAGGCATATTTGATTTGCAAGAATACTTGTCTCGCATACCTATGCTTAATTTGGGTAAAAAGTGTTCTTTTCATGTTAAAGAGCAACAGTGCTTTTCTCAAGAACTATATCAAGTTTTTATTAAAAATCACATAATATTACCAAGTTCAATGCATTGATAACATTAAGTGTTACAACTTTTCATAAACACTGACACATGTTAGAAAAACTGTATTATGTTGTAAAGAGGGGAAGAACTCCCAATTTACAGAATAAGATGCCAATTTCCTTCACAAATTATAAGACACCTTCCTCTTTACTTGCTATGTTATTTATAGGCAACATATGCCTTAATTCTGCTATTTATCCCAGCCCAACTAGCTCTACTTACCTCACTGACAGTTACTAACAAATGCAAACAGATATCACATACAAACACCTAAATCTAATACTAACATACATGATTCACCTAACATAATATCTCTGAAGCAAGTAATTTCCATCAGCATGCTTTATATTATTTCAAAAATTTTTATATAACTACAAATTCAGAGAGATTCGGCATTTTTAAAGTTCAAAATGCACCTTGAATAAAATGTGAATATACAATTTGGAAAAATATTATATTTGATATTACTTTCAAGATGCAGGGCAGCTGGAGAATTTCAAAGAGAACTTCGACAAAAGGAGAAAAGCAAGAAGCTCGGGAGTTTCCCATTTTTATCAGAAACACATGCATGAGCTAGCTAGCAGCTTCAACTTAAGGGAAAATTACTGTAAAGAATTAGGAAATGCAACTTTTCAAACAAGTGATATGTAACTTATGTTTTTGGCTTTAAATTATTGTTTACCTACTATTATTTAAAAAAAAAAAAAAAAAAAACTTTCAAGCTATAATAAAAAATAGCTACTTCAAAACAAAATTAATTTTGAAATTAATAAGAAACTATCCATTTTCCTTCAATTTCCATCTCTAACTTGGGATAAAAATATTGTGAGGGAAAATGAGAAAATCAGAGTTTGATAAAACCTCTGTACTGGAATAGTCACTACCTAAAATTTTGAAACCAATTTAAACCTACATAAGAATAAGAGCTACCAAATACAAACAAATTTGGCATCTTAGAAGATCAATTTTGGGAGTGCTTAGGGTTTCTGTGTCTGACACCTGCTCCTTATTTCTCTGGGAGAAGTAGGTGCAGACATGATTTAGCTCTGCAGTGATGATAGGAACTTCAAGATTGATTTTAAAATTAAACATACCTCAAGTGCAGTGCCCTTTCCACATGGAAACACCAATGCACCCTCCACAAATGCAATATCATCTGCTTCATTGAACTGCACACTTTCATGACTGCTAACTCGTGTGGTTATAACTTTAATCTCCAAAGTTTTCTCCTGACCATTTTTCTCAACTACTAAAACTTTTGCCCTAGTTCCTGGCCACCCTGAAAAGGCACGAACCTAAAATTGTTTTATGTGTCAATTGCACAGTTCAGGCAAGATCTTGAAGTCACCTTATTATGTAGAATAGATGCTTCTTGATCAAAGAATAGCCACGATTCATCTGGACTTAACTGCATGATGTAGCAAAACAACAATACAATCAGGATATTTACTGGAGTTGTTTTTCCTTTTACTTCTTTGAATAACAGGATATTTACTGGAGCAAACAAAGAACCACGTAACACAGTTTCTCCCCAATTCAATCTTTGACACTTTCAAGTTTTTGATTGACTTGCAGCTAACTACTGAATGAAATTATGTAAAAATAAATAGCATGAAATGAAACCCTATTTCTTTTCATCAGGCCTTCAGGTGTAGACTGTAGAAAGCAATCAGACAAAAATTAGAAAAAGAAAATTCTTAATTCTCTGCAATTGAAGCAAGACTCTGGAAGCTTATTTCTTAGGGCCATACTTGTTGTAACTACTGGATTCTTGGGTTGGGTGAAGGTTCACCTATGGCATTTTGGAAGGAAAGTGAGGAATATTCATTTCAGAGGTTGGGGGGGGGGGTTATCTCTGACTCTAAAATCTGCATCTAAATATAATTTACCCACCAAAAAAAGTTTATACTCCCTCTGCACAAACTAAGTAATGGAAAAATAAGAAAGTGACTCAGTTCTATTCATCTCTGTTCCAAATAAGAATTTATTTGGAGTTTGCATTCTTCTTATTTGTTTTGTTGAGTCCTATTTTTTATCTGTAATTCACTATCTTAATCATCAAAGCAATCCAAAACAACCTGTAAGGTTAAGTCTTTCATTTGGACAGTAGCATACAATAGGATCAACACAAATGCCATTTTGTACATTCCAAGAACTCATACAGCTTTTTCACCTAATATGTGTGATGAGAAGATGCGTTCAGAAACAGTAGCCCACTTATTTTTGCATTGTGAGGCTTTTTTGTTTTTGGTAAGACCACAAAGTGTCCTTGTATCATAGCATGATTTTATTTATGAGGTCATTTGCAACTCGGAAAATTCTCATTTATGAGTTTTGTCAGAGATACGGAGGTTAAAATTAAGGCAATGTGTTATGCGGTATACTTTCAAGGGTGTCTCTTTGCTGGCCCTTACATTTATTACAGTAGTCTAAAGGGAATTTATATTGCTGCCTGGCAAAGAGGTTGAACAGCCTTGTTGCATTTTTCAGCCACCCATTTGATGCCAAAATTTAATAGATTCGTAAAAGCATATACTCAATATCAACTTTAGCTGGGCTAGCAAGTTATGGGCAAAAACAAATGGAGGATCTGATATACATTGAAGTGTATCAATAGTATTTTTATTTTCTTATTTCAGCTTTCTAGTAATATAATAGAACCTAAAATTACCTTTGGAGCCAATGTAGCTTTAGTGTGATCTTGGGGTTGTGCCTTCATTCTTGCAGATCCATCAAATATAGAAGGAAGTTCCCCAACCAGAAGTTTTGATCCTGCTTTGTCAAATAAAGATAGGAATTAATTCAGTAACAAAAACTTGCAATTAAAACGTAATAAGAATAGTACAACACCATGAGGAAAGTACATAGGAATACAAAAATAGAAGAATGATACCTTCATGGAACAGGAGCTCAAGCAAATCAGGTGCCTACAAAGATATCTAAAGACTTGTGAGAAGCAGGGAGAAAAAGCAGTAACTGCCTTATAAATTCCACCAAACAATGTGAGAGAGTTATGGCAAGTGCACGCCGCACAATAACCGAGCAAAGCATGCTAGCTATGAATAGGAAGAGAACAAGATGCAACTATTGATTTCAAAAGGCCTTGCTCACATTTGAGTTTGGAAGGCAAAAATAGCAACCCATAGATGCCCTTCTCAGGTGGGGTAAGGTCACTGATGGGAAGGTAATACTGGCACACAAAATTTGTTATACTAAACCTTATTAATACTATGAAAAGGGCTCTTAGCCCTTGATATAAATATGTGCCACTTTTACTCATCCAAATCAAAAGCTAAAACATTCCAAACTTGATTACCAACGAAGGACAAATACAAATAAATGAGCATCAATCTTTTTTATACAGAAAACTCAAAAGGCTCATGATGCAATCCCCTTCACATGACACTTGTTGTAGGAAAGAGGGACAACAGAGATCATACTCACACCTTTATTTGATCATCAACCTGAATTGTTTGGGTAGTAATGACAGGTCCAGCATCCAGTGCACGAACAGTGAATGCTAATGATACACCAGTTTCTTTAACCCCATCCTAGTATATAGCACCGAAAATAAGCTTATGAAATAAAATTTTTAAAATGAGGCAGAATTTAGAGAAATAAATGGGGGGGGGGGGGGGTGGGAGGGGGATGGACCTGCAATGCTCTTTGAACAGGAGCAGCACCTCGGTACAATGGCAACAGGCTAGGGTGAATATTGACTGTTCCTGAGATTTTAGCAAATGTGAGCGTTAGAGCTACAAGTTTTACAGGTGAACAAAAATGGCGGTGGCAGTGACAAACCCAGTGGTGGAATATCGAGAAACTTGGTAGGTAATATATTCCCATATGCCGCAGTAATACACAACTCAGGTTGCAGATCTTTTAAATTTGACAAGAAAGTATCCTGCAGAACAATGCATGAAGAGAAAAGAAGAATGAGAAAGAAGAGGTGAATGAATAGAATAGAATAGAGAAGGGTGAGGTACGTCTCCAGCTCGTTGGGGAGAGAAAATAAGATGGGATGAAAAGCCCCTATCAAGTGCATGAGTGGCCAAAGGAGAGAGGGCGAGTTTCTTTCCCCTGTCCCTTCTAGCAGGGGGCTGAGTCACAACAGCGGCAACCTCAAATAGAGAATGTGGAGAAGCAGAAGCGTCGAGAAGCGCATCCAGGACTATGGCTGAGACCTGAACTCAAAAGTAGAGAATGGATGAACGAAACAAGTAAAGCAAAAGAGAGAGTAGGGTGAAGAGGAAGAGAAGAGAACCTGAGGTGCGCCCAACAACACGAGAGCCTTCTTGTTGGTGACGGAAGCAGAAGACAGTGGCACGGAGGGAGAGGCGCTCTGTAAACAGCATAACCGACGAAACATTTTTTCTTCCTCAGGTAGACGACGGAGATACAACCCTATCTAAATTCTCAAAATGTTTTAATCCTTCTAATACCAAAATTTTATTACAAATATTTTTTAATAAAATTTTATTATTTAACTTAAATTTCATTTATTTTTAGAATTAATATTAACATTTTTAAAATTAATATAATAATAATATATTACTTAATTAACAAAATAAAAATTGTATAATAAAATGCATTAATATTATTAAATATTATAATTTTTCATTTTTTTTTCAATCTCTAATGAAATATAATATTATACAAATGAAGAAAAGTTGAATTAATAATTTTGAATTTTAATTTCCATCTGTAGAGGAAAAAGTTTACTGTTGAAAGGAATTTTATTTAATTTAAATAAGATTGTATGAAATCTATAATTTAGAAGAAAAAAATGTTAATTTTATTTTGGTGGGAGAGTGGTAGAAACTAGAAAAAAATAAAACAGGGTTGGATCCTCTGGTCTCTGGTCTTATCTTATCTATCTGTGTTGGTACGTAGACAGAGAGGGAGCAGTGCCGCCGGGAATGGCTGTTTCGTCGGTGATTAACCGTCCTTTCCTTCGTCTTCATGAAAACCTAAGTTCACCTTTACCTTCACCCGTTGCTCCTCAATTCCATTTCCACCCCAAACTCAATTTCCCATCCCTCCCAATTCGATGTTCCTCCTCCCCTTTCCATGACAACACCCTAATTTCCATCAAAACTAATAAAAACCCCCACCTCAATAACCCTCTCGCTTGTCGCTTTCACACTGCCCAGTATGGAGGTGCTATAACTATTCTTTTTTTTTTCTAATCTTAATGTCACAACCCTAACTTTTTCATTTAGAGATTTGCTCCATTCTTATCTTTTTCTCAATATAGTAGTGGACTATTGCTAGAGTAGTTGATCCCAATTTTTTCTCCTTCATATGCTCTATCTTCATTCGGGTTACGTGTATTTATGCTGACAAAATTATTGGTCAAGTTTTGAATATGGTGTATTCAGTATTATACTGTCAATATCCAATTCCTTATCCTTGTTGTTTAATGCTTTCTAAAGCTAACATTTTCCTTTTATTCGCTTGCTTCTTCAAACTGTTTTCCTACAGTAGTAGAAACTTAACGGCAATGTCATTAGTCCTTGTGTAGGATAAGGAATGGAAAACCACTGTAACGTTTAGTTAAGATTCTATTTGTTTGTGAAATGGAATGTACATTTGATGATATATATTTGAATATATTGGAGCAGGACAGGAGAGCAACAAATCGTATGTTGAAGCCTATGCTGTGGGGCGAAATATTCGTATGTCTGCTAATAAAGCTCGAAGAGTGATCGAACAGATTCGTGGACGTCCATACGATGAGACACTAATGATATTAGAACTCATGCCTTATCGAGCCTGTGAAGCCATTCTGAAAATAGTGTTTTCGGCAGGAGCAAATGCTAGCAATAACATGGGTTTAAGCAAAGGAAGTTTAGTTATTAGTAAAGCAGTGGTTGATGAAGGCAAAACTATGAAAAGGATAAGACCTCAAGCACGAGGACGGGCTTATCCAATTAGAAAGCGCACTTGTCATATAACCATCGCAGTGAAAGGCTTACCTAGTGAGGCCCCCGTCGAAGCAAAGCCTGCTTAATCCAATCCTATATTTGTTTTTGGGACAAAATGATTGCCTTATTTTGAACCTACTCTGCCAATTACATTTGATGAAAATTGCTGCATTTCAATGTTTTGTAGTTCGTTTATACAGTGACTTTAGAGGAGTAATGATCGTATTATATGCGTACGTCTATGTAAGAACTGTTTGAATGTTCAATTTAGTTAGGGCTCAACATGAAATGTTTTAGCTTTGAAATTTTGCAGAGTTTTGTGAGTTTAGTTTAGTACTTTTTAAGTTTTTTACAAAATGTTTACAGGATTTAACACGCACGTAACTTGTATTTAAAAATGAACAATTCTTCAAGTTACCAAATATTAGCTCTTTTCAGTACTGTATCAGTGCTTATTATACCAAAAACAACTTTTATTATACATTATCATTCCCGAAGTGCTGGGTAATATATTGTCGTGGTGGTAACCTGGTGGACTTTCTCCATTCCTAGCGTCACCTACCTACCTTGCAGACACACCACAAAGCAACCAAAAACCAGATAAATATGAGGCAGTGCATGTATGATGCATTTGTTTTGTAACGTGCTTGTGATAACAAAGGATAATCTCTTGCTTCGCTATGGTGGAGATTCAGCTGGAGGAGGAAAATAAAGATTGCTGCTTTCTTCTTGCAACTAGATATTATACGTATGCGTAAAATAAAAATAAAAAATAACTTTTTCTTAACAAAATCTCTTGTTAAAGATTATTAGATATTCTGATCACAATGAATTAATCAAAATATACACTTTCGTTAGTGCATGTTTGGTTTTACTTTTTATCTTTTGAAAAGCTCTTCTCAAAATATATTAATTATAAATTATTTTAAATACAAAACAGACTAATCCAAATTCACATTCTTCTGCAACGATAGATAAATTGAAAATAATGCATCCATACGCAACGAAATAAAATATAGGGATACCACAGAAGACTCAAATCTCTGACTCGTAATCCAGACAGAAATGCACACGAAACAAAGCTCAACAACACAACACAAGGGGGCCAGCTACAACTAGACCCTTTATTAGAAATAGATGACACAAGCAAAGAAACAGGAACGGATGACTACTGGGGCATATTATTCTTCTTCTGACTCTGATTCTGCATTTTGAAGCCAGTTAATCAACGGTTCGGCATTCTTCCATATCTTTGAGCTCTTATTATTGCCCTTCAGCCCTTCTTGATACCACTTCACTATGTGCTCTTCCTCCAATAAATCAGCATCATAAAGAGCCTTCAAAACAATGGCAATTTCCTTCAAAGCATTGGAAGTGGATTTCAGACAAAAAGCTTCAATTGCACGAAGCAATAGTAACTGTGACCCCCCCTCCATGGCAACTGCAGCAGAAAGGTAGCTCCTCTTCTTGATAACCTCCTTAGCAAACCCTTTCTCAATCCCCTCAAATAAGACCTCATACAGAGCATTGGTCTTTTCTTGAGCAGATGCAGGAAGTGCTACCATATGGGACTGCAATTCATTTGGCAAAATACCTTTGTTCAACATTGCTTTCACTTCTCTGACCAGTTTCCCGTAGTGCATTGAGTTACCATTTTCAGAACCATTGCTTATCTTATTTGCTGCTTTTTCCTTCTTCTCAGGCTCATTTGTGGATAGCATGACCATATCAGCCGTTACAGCACTTAGCTGTTCTTGGATACGTTGCCGAGCAGCCTCTAATGACGTATCTGTTTGCCATTGTACATCACCATCATCATCTTCATCAGGAGCCTCTTCCTTTTCATCAACCAGATTGCGAGTTGGAGATGTACGATCTTCATCAGAGCCACTAGTTTTCTTCTTTGTAGAGGTGGATTTTGTGGTCTCATCCTTGGAAGTGGAAGAGCCTTTCTTCTTAACCTCTTTCTTCATTTTCTTTTGTTCCTCATCAGCTACTTCACCTTCCTTTAGTCTCTCCTTCTCAGCCCTCCTCATGGCCTTCTTGTCTTTGGATCCTTTCTTTGTTTCAGGAGGGTTTTTTATGATAAAGGTAGTCAGCTTGTCTCTCATATCCACATCAGACACAAAACCACAAGCAGCACATTTCAGCTGGATCATTTGGCTCTTGGTAATCACTATCTCGGTTTCAGGGTTTCCACAACCATAACATTGAACATATTTCTTGATGAAGTTCTCAAGAAGACCAGCAAGTTTTGGAGTGTCATGTGCCCCATTAACATGAGATGTCCCAACTTTCTCATCAAATTTAGATTGGGCTCCAAGTTCACAACCAAAGTACTTGGTTGTGTAAGATGCTGGCCTCGCCAATGCCTTGGCAATATCAACCATATTGACAATATTTGTTTTGATGCCATTACCTCTACCCTCAATTTTGGTGATCATTTTGGGCATCTTATACCGATAGAAGGCATCATCGCTATTTCCAGCACCAATGTTCTGTAAGGCCATGACGACTTAAACAGTACAAACTTCAAAGACAAACAACCACACCAGATTATGGAGGAGCTCCGACCGAAATCAGAAAGACCTGCCTTGTGCAATTAGGGAAGGCTGCCAAGAGCAACAACAGAGATCGGTGTGTTCCTGGTACGGCTTGCGATGCATACAGCTCAGCCTTGTAGGCAAGGGCCTATTCTTTTTTCTAGAAGAAGAAAAACACTCTCCAAGCAACTCAATTGCTCCAAAATGGATAATAGCCCGTTCAAACATGAAAGAAAGTTCAACGTGACCCCTTGTAATCTGCTACGGCAGAAGTTGCAGGAATCCTAAATCAATAACAACAACGAGACAGAGATTTTAGATGTATGATGGTAACACCATCGGAAGGGAATGAACAATTTCAATTCAAAGCAGTTAAGCCCACAACGTTAACAGTACACAATACATAAGGATTAATTACGATGCATGTTCCGGAAGACGGAAAAGCAGAGTAGGCATGATATAGATAATGGATCATTAGAACAGATAAATAAAAAGAAAAAACTTATTTATAAGATGATATACAAAACTGGTGATGGCAACCCTACATACATGACTTGTTTATTGGTATTTACTTGATTGAGTTTGCACATAAGAAAGTGAGGATGATATTACAATAATCATTATAACGAATATATATGTAGTTAGATCTCAATCAGAGGAAATAAAACACAAAAATATAAGAAAGATGAAACATATAATGATAATAATATGCGAGAAATATAAAAATTAAAAGGGTATGGTACCTGCAAGAAGAGATTGATTGAACGGAGGAGGAGATAATGAGATGTTAAAGAAAAAGGCGTCGTGAAAATTGGAGAAGAAGAAGATGCAGGAGAAAGGCTTCAGATGCTGCGCAGCGGCTATGCCTTTTAGCTTTACACCTTTATATATGCCCTTCCTGAGCAACCTCTATTCTAAAGTTTCCTCTTTTATTTTCCCCGGTTGAAGTATATTTTGATTAAAAATAATAATTGGTATATTTTTTAAAAATAAAATAAACAAAATAAACATACATTAAATATAATAAAATTTAATTGGATTTTTTTTTATAGGCAATAAAATTTAATTGGATTATGTATATATATATATATATATATATATGATTTACTTTAGCTTTTTTAGTTTAATATTTATGCTGTCATGTACTGCATGCATTATTATTAAATTCAAAGTATTTATTAACTAGGTTCAAATACTGAATTAATGTAATGTTAATTAAACAATGAGTTATTAGTCAAATTATAAAAAGTAAAATAATATACAAATTCTTATTTAATTATTTTTATTTTTAAATAAATTTTCAAACAAGTATTTTTTATTTTTATATGATGTTTTGTTAATACTTTTTTCATTATTTGTCTTAGATATCATATAATTTAGTTCATATAATATAATATAAAGTTAAAATGGATTATCATGTTAAATTTTTATTTATATTTTTTATATTTTAAATGTTAATTTTAAAAATTTTGACTTTATAATGTAAAATATTATTTAAAATATAAAAAAAATGATGTTAATAAGACATCTCTTTCAGATCATATTTTAATCAAAATATGAGAGTAAATAATAAAATAAATTAATAAGTTTTAACACAGAAATCACATAGAAAATACAAAATAATTATTAAGAAACTATATTAAAAAAATTGAATAAAAAAGTCCAAGTAAAAAAGTTATGAAATTTTAGAAGACCAAAATCTTATTTATATGTATTTTACATGAATAAAAGTTTTCATACTAATTTGAGCCCAATTTAAATAAGTTTTACATTTTTAAGCTGAAAATTAAGGTTAATCCATTGGCCTCATCACTCCATTGTCCACCATTAATAAATAAAAAAATACATTAGATATTTATATCCTTAAAAACTAGTAAATAAATAAAGTTACAAAATAAAAATATATCTAATATTATTTTAAAGTTAATTAAAATTATATCATACTTTAACTAATCAACCATAGATATCAATTTATTTTTTTCACTTCACATGTTTACTCACTTTAGTGCAATCCTTAATTAAACATCACCGATGTATTGGCCATAAATTCTGTTCATCCAACCACTCATTCTTATTTCCATCTTCATGCAATCATGTCTCGTTCTTCTCGTGACATGTTGTTTCTTGCCTGTTTTTATATCCAGTGACATGTTTCAGACAAATATGAACAAATGTCTTAGGAATTAAAAATAAAAAAATATTTAAAATGTTATTAATATACTTTCACCATATTTTTAAAATATATTTTTTAACGTTATTTTAATTAAAAACGTTGTTGATTTTTTAGTCAATAATTTAGGATCATTTGTTAACAATATTATTATTTTTACTTTATGTAGTATCAACTGATGTTAAGAATTGCAATAGGGTGATTAATGGAATGAAAATTCCTTAAGATATGTTTTCTCTGCTCATACTGCTCTTGCAAACAAGTCAAATAATGGACTTTTATAATATGGAGTTAATTTTAATTAAAAAGAATGAATTAAAAAATATGAAAATGATTTTGTAAAACCCCACTATTAGCACAGAGAGAGTTTGGAAGAGTGAACTGCAGGAAGCCCTACCCCTTCTTCAAACACAGTGACAGAACCTCTTCTTCTTCTACCCAATCGGCATGGCGTTGTATGGAGCAGCGAAGCGTGTTTGTGTTTCAATAAGGGTGGCTGCTGCTTGCACTGCTCGTTCGTATTCTTCGTCTGCATCAGACTCTGCGAATCTGAATCTGATAAAGCAATTGAGAGAGAGAACGAGCGCTCCTATTAAAGACGTGAAAGCGGCTCTGGTGGATTCCAATTGGGACATTGATGCAGCTCAGAAGGAACTCCGAAAGAGAGGCAAAGCTGTGGCTTCAAAGAAATCCTCTCGAACTGCTTCCGAAGGTTTCCTTGCTCTCGCTCAATCCCCTTCCAAAGTCGCTCTCATTGAACTCAACTGCGAAACCGATTTTGTTGCCAGAAACGACATTTTCCAACACTTGGTTCGTTGCTTCACTTCCTAACCTAATTCATTTACTATTCCTATTCCTATTCCTCACACGCTCTTCTTCAATCCCTAGGCATTATCCTTAGCAAAGCAAGCTTTATCGCTCGATGCCGTCACTTCTTCTTCTTCTTCTTCTTCCGCCGCTGCTTTTCACGTTCAACCTCAATCGTTGCAGGTAAATCAAATTCATGTTATTATTCCGACATGCCTTGATTTTTCAACCGCTTGCTTTGCTTTTACCAGGACTTGACTTTGAATCTCGAGCATCCAAAGATTAATGGAGAAATAACCGTTCCTAACGCAATCACTGAAGTGGCTGCCATGATGGGGGAGAATGTAAGATTCAGAAGAGGTTATGTGATGCCTGCATCGTCCAATGGTTTTATATCTACATATCTTCATACCAGTCCCAAGCCAGGTCAAATTATTCAATCCATTTTTGTTGCCAGTTGTTATTTTCTTGTACAATGTCTTGTGGCAAGTACCGAATTCTTTGCGACATCTAGAAACTTGACCCGATGAGGATCCTGACTTTCTTCTATTTATTTAGGTTTGGGTCGGATTGCTGGAATTTTGTCTCTTGAAGTAGATGATGGTAAAACGCAAGTGGAGGCTCTTCAGCGTGTTGGATCAGAGTTGGCCATGCATGTAGTGGCAGCCAAGCCATTATTTTTAACAAAGGAGCTTGTGTCTTCGGATGCGTTAGAAAATGAGCGTGAAATTCTTAAATCTCAGGTATTTCGTGATTTCATTTCGAGTCTAGTATAGGTCCATATATGAATTTTGAACTTTAATGTTTCAGGCAGAGGCCTCTGGTAAGTCTCAGATGGCCATAGACAAAATGGTTGAAGGGCGTCTCCGCAAGTACTTTGAGGAAGTTGTGCTCATGGACCAAAAGTTTATTATGAATGATACTATGAATGTGAAGGTATGTGAGGTTTCTCTGAATTGCAAGGGGTTCATTTATGAGAAGGTTGAAATAAAGATGGCTATATTTATTGGTCAATATCATTATTTTGAATGGTGAAGGAAATTAAAATTCTACTACCCATGCCTTGGTTTGTTAAAAATTCATCATCCTCTCTATTTGTTTATTTGTTTTATTTGTCACTCTTCCTTTATTCTGAAAGAGGGAAAATGCGCCATTTTACATTAGCAACTACTACCTAACCCTAATGCAAAACATCCTAATAATAAAGTCTTCACTTCTGAGTCTGGGAATAAGAAATAGGAAATGAGAAACCTGTATTTGCTGCTGGGAATTTGAGAATTTTCTTCCAGTCAAATTTGCTAGAACCATGGGTATTAGCCTTCAAAACCATTCAAAGTTTCAAACTCTAGGATGGTCTTTAAGATGTATTCCAGTTGCAAACCAGCAAATGAAGGTGGTCTGTTGTATGATGTGCCCCAGTAAGCATTTTTCTTTATCTCAAGACCACAACTCAGATTAGAATTTCATGATAAAAATGTAGATTGTACTTTTGACTAGCATTAAAAATAAATTTAGTTGTATTATGAGGTGCATACTCTTTAGATGTGTGTATTTGCTATTTTTAGTGTGTGTGTATAGTTCTGTGTACCTATTGTGAAGCATCCATACACGGAGCCAATTTTTTTCATTTGATAGTTGATCTTTTGTGTCTCTTTGCAGGCGGTGCTGGATAATCTTTCCAAGGAGGTGGGTTCATCTGTGAGGGTTGTCAACTTTCTCAGAATGGAAGTTGGGGAAGGAATTGCAAGGTGAAACCAATACCTTTTTGGACTCTTCTTTTTCTATCTTATTTTAGAGTCTAGTTATGTACTATTAAAAAAATAATTGCAATTGGTCTACAATTAAGGGTTTAATCAGATTGTGTTAAATATTGTGGTTTAGCTAGTGTTGTATTACTGTACAAGTTGTGTTTTGTGTGATTCCATCATGCAGTCATGACAGGATTTGCGTTTAAAAATTATGCATTAAACTGAGATTACTTTCTCATGTCTCTGGCAATGTAAAGACATGATGATGTGTATAGCCTAAAGCATTTCTTACCTTACCTACCTAAAACTGTAATATATCATGATCAATTATAAAAATGGGGATCAAATGCTGATTATGTTTCTCATGTCAGAGAACTTAGTTGATTTTACTTCTGAGTGATTTGAACAATTTTACTAACCATCAACAATTTTCAGGCAAGAAACAGATGCTTCTGAGTCTGTTGCTCAGGTTGCCTAAGTTAATGTGATTCTGTCCATTCACAGAGGAAACCCTCTGAGAGCTCAGGTTTGTTTTAAAGGTTTTTGCTCTCTAGCTGGATACTATTTAAACACGTATGCTCCGATATTGATCCAGGGAAGTTGAGGTACAGGATTCGGTTGAAATTTTTGCTCCACAGTGGAAAACATAAATGGTTTCTTTTAGACTGTGTTAGTATTTTCTGGTGCACTGTCCTGATCTATATCTACAAATCCCTAGTTAAAGTTTTGTTTTTATATCTTTGGTGAGTTCACATAGTTTCTAAATTTAAATTTTACAAAACTGTCAAATAAATTGATACTTTGGAATGAACCAAACGATTGTCTAAAAGCAGACATAGCCATGCTTATGTTTATTTGAAGGTATATAAGTTTTTATCTTTAACCTCATTATTCTTTTAAAGCGATATAAGGCACGAGTCTGTCCTATTTTCAGAGCTATGTTTACAAATTAACATGCAGCAATTCAAACCTCATTCTTTAGTTGTAATTGATGCATCATTTTACCGTACTCCTACTTTCAATGAATCACAAAAATCTGTCATCGTCTAAGGAAACAATTTCAAAGTTTCTGTAGGATTATAATTAATCTCTTTTTGAAAGTTTGTAATTATATACAAATGGATAGATAGATAGTAAAATCTGTCAATTAGTAACGTAAACAAATCCAGAAGGATTTTAATTGTATATTGTTATATTTAGATATAAACTTTGACAATGTCGTATTCTGTTGCAAATTATTATAGCTGTTAACCGTAAAACTCTATCGAACCTTCATGACATGGACAATGATATGTTTGTTCGCTCTTGTTTCACTGTAAACTTAGTTTAGAATGGGCTGTTCTTCCAGTTTTTCAATTTGTATGTTTTATATTTAAGAAGTAATGGTTATCGACCAAAATAAAAAAGTGGAAGAATTATTAAACGTAAAAATGCGTGACAAATATGATTAATTTGATGTATCAAATATCATATCTTATAAATTAATTACTACAATTAGTTTGAAAATAATATCTTAATTAATATTAAAATTGTTGAAAATTACAAATTATCATAACCTAACATGCTACAATTTATTATTTATGAACGCTTTGTGAGAAAGAATATATTGAATTTAAAGAAAATGCGACACGGAAGTAATGTCATTTTTCTAATGATATTGCTGACATTATTAATTAATTAATTTTTGTGAATACATTATTAATATTACAGATACTTAACCTGAAAAATTGGTTGGGGCATGGGCTGATTGAGTGTCACATTCACTCACAGAAAGCAAAATAATGGAATACTTACGGAGGCAACATGAGATTTGGCATCACGCTGAACCCTATCCGAAAGATAATATATAGTACCTGCAAAAAGAATATAGCTAATCCATACATAGGGGGAAAAAAATGAGAGGATGGCGTACGGAACATGTGTAAGTGTAACTAATGATGAATATGTTGATCCTGCATGCCAATGCCATTGCCAGGGTAGGGAGGCGTTCCACAAGGAGAATGAGATGTCATCTAATTAACCAGTAATAGTATATCATAATATCTGAGATGGAAAAGCATCTCCTACCATTAAATTAAATTAATAGCTAAGAATTCATTGCAATAATGACATGATATAATACATTAAAACATAAGAAAGGAATGTATTGGAAAGTTGGAAATGTGAAACCAACGATCCCGTGAATACGATGATGAGCTGCCACTACTTATCGACACAAGCTAACCGACACCCTCACCGCCAATAATAATGTCACGCACAGCTTCCTAGCGTCCTACAGAAGGTCAATTCCGTGACTTCACATGCATTCTTTTGCGTCCAAAAATAAAATGAATAAAGTTTCTTCCTTTTTTTGTGCTCAAGTCATGACAGGTAATGGAATTTGTGGCCAAAGAGGTATCCATCGCCTGTGAGCATATAAATAATAAATAATACATTTGGGTTCCACGCGTACATTGACATACTACTGTTTGTAACAGATCATAAGCTTCCTTCTCTCTATATAAAAGTGAAAAAAAATAAAAATAAAAATAGCTTACCACAAAATAGAAGATGGCAAAGAAGCTTCCCACTGATCTTGTTTGCATTCTTTTTCTTTTCTTATCTTGTGGGGTGAATTTTTTATTCCTCACGCGGACTCCATCACAAATGTCAACCTTATTTGTATACAACTAACTGGCCACCGTTGAATCTTCCAATCTGAATTTTCTTATTTTACTTGTTCACATGAGACTCCCCCTTATATATGTTTGTACATGTCCATGCATTGAAACTTGAAACTTAACCTCAAAAACACATAGCTCGCCAGGATCAAGATCAAGTCATCTTATACATCAGCATTTGAAGAAATAACGTACGTTGAAGATGGGTAACTACATTTCTTGCACTCTATCAGCAGCAGGAAGCAAGCAATGGAGAGGCATAAAGGTTATATTCCCAAGTGGGGAAATTGGGCAGTTCCAAGAAGGAATAAAAGCAGCAGAGCTTATGCTTGACATGCCAAGCTTCTTTGTTGTAAACACTCGCTCTCTGCAGATTGGACGAAGGTTTTGTGCACTGAACGCCGATGAAGACCTTGAGTTTGGCAACGTTTATGTGATGCTTCCAATGAAGAAGCTTCATTCTGCAGTCTCAGCTGCTGACATGGGGGCTTTGTTACTCACTGCCAAAAGGGTCTCTGCCACGGCAAATGAGAGAACTCTTCAACACAGAGAAACTTTACCACAGGAGCCCAAGTTGAATTTGGATGACTGCGAAGAGTTGTCTAGTCCAGAGTTCATGCACAGGTTGTCTTTGTGCAGGTCAAAGAAGCCTTTGCTTGAGACCATAGCAGAAGAACCAGTGTGTTAGGAAATTTTACAAGCCAAACATGTTAAACCATCTATTGGAGCTGTTAAAGAAATTGAAAACAACTATGATTGGAATGGAATATTGCTTCAATGGAGGGCTTATTTGTGGCTTTTTTGTGATGTGGCTCGTGTTTTCTTTATAATGATTGAAATTGTATGTATTACTGAAAAAAAAAAAAAAAACTAGTTCAAGACATGCAGTAATGTTAGCTAGGCTATTCTTTGATTCAATTGATAGGTTTCAATGCAAAGAACTTCAATCTGTTGTTAGGATTGAGAGCGAAATTTTATTATGCCCGTTTGGTTCTATTGTTAAATATGTTCAACTTTTAGCTGGATGTATATCTTTTAACATGTATAATAAGACTCAATTGAAAAAACTTGTTTCCTGTTTACCAGATTTATCCCCATATTTACGTCGACTGTCTCTTTTAGTTTTATCCTTTTTCTTTTATCATTCTCTTCCTTCTTTTTTTTTTATCATAGTATTAATCACCTCCCTTGCTTTTTCTCTCCTTTTCTTTTTTTCATATTTCTCTCTTCCACTCATTTTATACTTGAATATAAAGTGGCAAATAATCTTTTTTTTTCTTATCAGATTTAAGAAACCCCAAGTTATTAATTACAATTTATAAACAATCTAAATGTATAAACAATCATCTAATCTCTTTTTTTTTTCTCTTTTATAATGAATAATTGGTAAGTTTGATTTCCCTTCTAAAAACAATTTTCTATTTTTAAAAATAAATTAAAGTATAAATTTGTACTACATTTTATTTTTAAAAATAAAAAACTACTTTTAATAGGAAAATTAACCATGCTCTAAATCCATTTTTTATGCTTAAATTTTACCAACTACAAAATGAAGCTATTAAATATTTTTCATATTTTTAAGACAATAAATATATGCATATTTTATGAATATTTATTTTATAAAGTAGTAAAAAATTGTTAAAAAGATATATAAGAGGATATAACACTTTTTTTTTTACTTTATTTATATTTATGTGTATAGAACATGGGGTGTCCAGAAACATTTTTCCCAAGTTATGTATTGTGGCAAGATAACATCTAATGCTTTGCTTAGTTTATGGGATTTGCTGCTTCTATTACTACACCCAACTCACCAAGGCAAAAATTAACATGTGTTGCATATTAAAATAATAAATTTTTGTTATTATATTTTTATATTAATATTTGGATTAATTGTCAATGTATTATTTAATTTTTTGCATATCAAATTTTGTATTTTTATTTTCTCAAAATCTGTCATAAATTTAGTCAATCTCAAATTATTTAATTGTTGGTGTATTATATATATATATATATGAATTTTAAACTTACAAACTTGAAATATAACATACGATTTTAATTTGTACTTAGTTCACATAATTTTTAATGATTTATTTCAATTCTTTTTCTAAATCATAAGTATCATTTATTGAACAATCTTGTTTGAACAAGATAGGAGCACTGTGAGCAGAAAATAAAATTCCCCCTCTGATACTAATTTATTTCAATTTTAAGACTAATTTTTTCTATTTATTCTTGTAAATTGATCAATAAATTTTTATACACTTGTGATAGCTTTGTAATAAGCCTAATTAGTTGTGAATTATGCTTAATTATATTATTTTGGCTGAGTTTTATATTATTGGGCTTAATTAGGCTTAATTATTAAACTTTGTTAATTTTTGAATTTTAAAGCCTTTTGACCTTTGATTATTGTGTAGGTAATATCTCGGGCTATAACTATCAGATTTGAGTGATTCCAATTGCATTTGAAAGCTAAGAAATGGGCCTACAACACTCATGGAGATTTAAAGGCTGAATCATAGCATCTAAAAACAGAATTGGACCAAAATTGGGCTGGAAGACGCAATTCGTGGATTCTTGACCTTAGTGCAGTGTTTGGGTCATATCTCGGCCCACAGATGTCTGATTCGACTCATTCCAGTGGCATTTGAAAGCTAACATCCGTGGCTTGAATAACATATCAATTACAAATCATAACAGACACGCTTCCTAGGCGAATTTGAAGGAGGAAATTACGGTTTGTTGTTGGAGATTTGAAAAGTCAGATTTGAATAAAAGATTAGGAAGTTTCTTTTTTTAGATGCATTTTTTTTTACTTGGGGACTCTTTTTTTTTTAATAGAGATTTTCTTTTCGTGAGCTTCCATCCATGGAGGAGTAATTTCGTTTATCTAGTTCAAAGATCAACAGAATGCAACATTCATGAGAATCAGTTTGTAGATTTTATATTTGAATTCAAGTTTCTTGATTTTGTGTTTCTCTCTGTTCTGATTAATATCATGAACTGAAGGTTTTCGTTCGATTTATTTTTGAGAGGCAATTCAATTCATTGTTTTGTTTTGGTTGAAGTGCATGAATTTATTTTTAAAAATTAAGGTTAATTAAGTGGTTCAGAAAGTTAACACGTTCAATTAGATTTTTAGAGGTTTCTAAGTTTAATTGAATTTGTGTTAATCAAACGCATGAATATTTTCGTGTGATCGCTTGATTTAATTTGATGTCTCAGTTGAATCTAGTCTTTAACCACCGAATTTGAATAATATATATTTTGAGATTCCGTGATTGAATGTTTGCTTATTTTTTCTTAATTCTTGAATTAGGTGTTTTTTTAATTGATTTAATCCTCTCAATTTTGATTTTGTTTTATTGATTCTATATCACTCCCCGTCTTATGTACTCTCCAAATAGACTAATTCGTCTTTGTGATCCTTTGGAGAATGATCCTGGTTGCTTGCGCTACAATAATTAGATTTAAATTTGACACGTGTACGATCCTGTGCCAATGATAAAAAATCATTTAACTTGAATATATATATATAATTCTTTATAACATTTTATATCATTGTTTAATAACGATGGTATTAGTAAATACCTGAAAACTTGCTAGTAGTATTTGAAAATGTATGACCAAGTGCTCAGCGGTCAAGAAGAGTTAAAGATGTTTCTGACGAACAAAAATATTTCCCAGAAAATTTCCTCGTACGACCGACAATGAAATCTGATAATGCTACAAGAACGCATGACCATGATATCTACTGTAACACTTCTAATGATTAAATGTTTACACTATGAGCTGAAAAATAATTGGTTTTGTCAGGTCCAAATATAAATTTATGAAATTTACATTGCTATGTACAGAAATGGCAACAGGTAGTAATCAAATGCCATGTTTCCTCCTGAAATGAATATCAAAATCCCTAACTGCAAAAAAGAAAAAAAGGGGTCGTCGTATAAGCACATATGCACCATGCTGGCCGGTTAAAATCTACTTTGGCTTATCATTTCAGCTACCTCACCCATGACACTTGTCCCTCTAATTTCTAATAGGCGCAGAGCCAAGTCTTCTTCATTCAACTGTCGCAATCCATTGCTCACTCTCTTCAACATACCCACATCAAGCTCCTGGATCCACAGTGGTGTGCAGCTCACCATCAAGCTCATAACCCCGGACACATATGCGCACCAAGTTGCACAATCACAGCGAAGTGATATTTTCCCATCTAGGGCATTTGCAAGAAATTCTAAATGAATTCCAAGAACCTTTGGTCGACGTTTTGATGCTGGTGACGAAGAGTCAATACCCCAAGCAAATGTCCCACTAAGCACAGCAAAACATGCGAGTGCATAACCCCTCAGCATAGCAACCACAACCCCAGATTCTCCAACTTCCTGTTCTAATCCTTGGGCTGACAAAAACCAGGAAGGTAAAGTTTCAGTAATCAGAGATTGAACCAAACCCGATCCACCAGATATCCAAAGAAACGATGCCCCAAGAATAGCAGCATGCTTAACACGTGTCATAGATGCAGCAAGAGAAACCTGTCCATATCTCATCCCATACTTGGTCTTCTTTAGCTTCTCCATTTCACCTTTGGGCAACCCACCATTCGCAATATCTCTAACTGAAAGCATTAAAAGAGAGACAATTTCTTCTGTCAAGAACATGACATCTCTAATTGACCTGTAAACTCTTAAGTAGAGAATACCAGGAGCAACTGGAGTAATCCCTCCACAGCAGTGAGAACCAAAGCCATGACCAAGGAGGGCGCCAACACCACCATTGTTATAAATACAGGCAGAGCCAAGCCCAAGGGTGGAGGTGAAGCAACTTTTTAAGAGCTGAACTACAGCATCCCTGCTATGGTGGAAGACAGTTCCAGAAGCAGAGAATACAAAAAAGTCACTCCAACGCTTCACCTTCTGAGCCCACAAAGAACCCACAATAGGCATGCACGGCCAGGGGCAACCAGAAGCAAGGGCGATCAAAGATGGGCCAACCAAAACAAGGAAGCGCTCATAAGATTTATCCAGTTTATATGTTATTGTGAGACTAAGAAAAGCCGCCAATGGTAAAGGAAGTGTAGCGGGAGCATTCCCATCTGCTTGCAGCAGTTCAAAATGCAGTGTCAATGGATTAATTTAATATAAACCTTATATCCACATAAATAGAAAATGAAAACATAGTCTGCCAAAAACTCAAAAGACGGAGAGTTGATATTTCTATATCAATCATATATCTGGTGCCAACTGAAAATTTATTCATCACCCACAAATTACTTACGAAAAGAAATATGAATATGCACACGACAAGTTAGTTGGCCTGAATGAAACAAAATGACAAATGTTTCAGGATTTCTATTCAATTAATATTTCCACAAAAAAGAAAAGTAAACTTACAAACCTATAGCAAGGCTTGGGACATCAACGCCAGTGGCTGCTAGAATTTTCTTGATTTGTTGCTCGACAATGGATAAATTTGCAGCAGGGCTAGGCCAATCAGATCCATTCATAAAAGCTGGCTTCCATATGCCACGTGTTACTTCAGCCGATAAGTAGCTTACAATTGTACCCAAAGATGCCGGAAGAAAATCAGCAAGATCTTTGAGACCTAAGACAAAAATCAAGGGACATGAAACTTACTAAGCAAAGAGCCTAAAAAAAGCATAAAAGATAAAACATTGGCAACCCAGTTTATTGCTATCCCAAATTTACAAATTCTATATAAGCATACATTTAATCAAATTAGTTAGTCTATGCCAACTGAAAGAAGCATGGGCTTATGTAACATTTGGCCCAACTTATTTTATATCTTAAAAGCTAATCTGAAGTTGAAGATTAAAAAAATAATACCTTAAGTACAACTAAAGTTGTTTGGTAATTTTATGGTTTTTAGCTTAGTTGAAACTTCCATATAATTAATGATTTGGTCAAACAACTGGTGTGGACTCCAAACACATACACAGTTGGAGTATACATCCTCAAGACAAGTGAGCACAAAGCCATCTGAAGTGGGATCTAAGTTCATGGAAACTTGAAAACAGTTAAAAGCATGTCATTGTTTTATGCTGTCTGATGCAGGACCAGATTTCTACAGTTTTTACTGTCATTTTGTAGTTACAGATAATTGAAGTAGGAAGAGTAGGAGAGGAGCTGAAAACCACATCCAAGCACAAATCCTAAGCCTAAGTAACTTCTGGAGATTTATTTGAGTTGAATTATGAACCAAAGAACCCAGCACTCATTTTTCTTACTCTTATAACTGTAAGTAATACAGCACCAAAAAAGAGACACTCCACATGAAAATATTGCATGTCTAACACAAACATTTGTATGGTCCCAAGAGGAAAAACAGTAAATTCCATATTCCAATACTACACTTTGGAGGCATCACTTAACAATTATCATTTTTAGCTGCACATAAAAAGCACTTTAGTATAGTTATATCCGCATCATCATCACTGTCATTATTATTATTATTATTATTATTATTATGATGATGATGTTATATTGCCTAGGTCATGCCATCCAGTACCCTTTCTCTTGTGTCTGTTCCATGGATTTCTATCCCTTCACCCCATAACCAAGAATTACATGTTCAATCTTCTTTCAACTTTTATTATTCCACAGTTCTGACATTCTCACATTTTAAAGCATGAAAGCCTCACTATAATCCTGAAATAGTTCTCAATTATGCATAATGATAAAAGCAAATTAAAAAAGGCATGATATATGCATGAGTAAACTGGGCAAACCTGTAGCCAATTCACGGGGAGAGAGTCTTCCATGGGCACAGGCAGTAAGGGCAGCATCAAGAACAAATGGAGCTGCTTCAAGAATATCCCATGCAGGCACTTTGAGTTTCACCAAAACATCATCCATAGACGAACCAGAAGAATTGCTGCTTCCTGATGTTGTAGGTGTCAATGACTGAGCACTTCGATTTATTTTCCTGGACATCATGCTTAGTAGTGCTTCAACAATCTGAGGAACTGGCCCTCCCGGTGCAAGAGCATAGCGGGTGGATGCCATACATTCTCGATGTTGCCGATACCAAATATTTAGTTTTGGAAAGGATTCCATAAACAAGGGCTCCAAAGAAAAACTTATCATCTTTGAAAACCTTCTGCTTCTTACTCGATCTCTTGGTAATTTCCCAAAGGATGCTAACATACAATTTCGAACCAATAGAAGGTACTCAGGACCTAATTGTGATCTTAATGCTGGAGTAGCTGCACCCCCCATCACATGTTCAACAGGTGGATGATTAAAACGCCATAATCTCAGCAGGAGAATAAATGCATTCGAGAACACTGCATGACATGTGAGCTTTTCACCATTTGCAGCAGTCCATGAGACATTAGGAACACATGATCCAAAAGCCTCACATATTGGCATTAGCGCAGCTGCAAGTAGTGGAACCTGAAGTAAAATGACTGCATAGAATCAGGCAACAAGCTAAATGGAGCAATCATCGTCTACTCCCCACTTTAATAATACCTCAAAAGTGAACTGAAGATCCAAACTTTTCTTGTCTGTGTGTGTATTGGGGAAGGGAGTGTTTATAAAAATGTCCTCTTGATTTCAGTTTTCCTTTTTCTTTTGAGAAAAAAAGATTGTAGACCATTTGCCATGTACATCAGTACATCAGTACATCAATACACGTACAAGCCAGAATACATAGATAATTAAATAAGGACATAGTGACATACCGCACCATGTAGGGAGAATATCTGAACGCTGTCAACGGGTGAAATTCCAACCAGAAGGGCATTCAAAAATGGAGCATGGCTAATCAAATAGCTTTCAGTCCCAGAATATTTAGGAGGAACTGGAGGGGAAAGCATCTTTATGATGAAAAAAGTAACGTGTTCCTGCAAACAAAAATAATCATTATAATCATGTAAGTGAAAATCAGAAAAGGGAAAAAGAAGGGGAAGCAAACAAAACAAATTAAATAAAGAACAAAGCAAAAGAAACTTAGTCTAGTATGATTTTCTAATTATGAGAAAGCCAAATAAAAGCAGTGTTAGGATCACCTGCACATTCCAACCACGTACTAAAGATGCTCCACAAAGAATGGTAGCAGCAGATATCTTTTCTTCATCCGAGCCATTGATTGCAAATTCAAATATTTTCTCAATCTCTGCTAAGCTTCCATTAAATCCACAAGCTTAAATTCAGTTGCATTACCACTAGTACATATACAAAATAGAGCATCTTATATACCAGGCTTCAGAAAATAGAAAGGTGTAACTGAGGCCCAGGTATAAGGCAATACTACAGCCAATTAGACAGCTATCACTTTCAAACATATACATCTCAATGAAAACATGCATCCTATGAGTGTGTGCACGTCTATTTAATATCTATGTATCCATTTCTACTTTTCCTTAGAAACAAGTACTTCTATTTTCTTTTCCAGATGAAATAAGTCCCTTTACCCAAGATACATAGTAGTAATAAAGCTCATAGACTATTATGGCATGTTTCAATATTAATTCTATAATGTATTTTAAATAACATATTTTCTCATCATTTTTTAGATATCATTACATATTTTAAAGATTCAAATTTCTTATCAAAACTATTAAGAGAGGAGAAACACAGAAACAGCAGGATCAGGACCTCCTCACAACAACTAAAAAGAAACGGGATACCATACAAGCATCAGCTCGAAAGAGTTCTCCAATTCCTCTCTTTGCGACAAAGAATCCCCTTTTTGATAAAATAAAAAAAAGTACATGGGCATAACCCCACTAGTAAAACAAGGGAAAAAACCTTACCCAAATAACATTCATATAGAAAGTGAACTGAGGGTGTCAAGATAAAATAGAAGGGGAAGTTAGAATACCAGTTAAGTAGTAAGTTATAGGGGGAAAGTGTGATAAATAAATAAATAGGATGATGAAAAGGAAGGGTATTCATTCTGTATTGTTATCAAATGGGAATTGAGCAAGTTCTCAACTGTTCTGTTCATTCTGTATCTCCTTTGTTCTGTTCTTTTGCAATCAAGAAATACAATTGTTTTTTTCTTTTCTTTATTTTCTAATACAGGTTTCTAACAAAGGGTGAGGAAGTTCTTTGCTTTTTGGGTGGGGAGGGGGAGAGAGGGTGTGGGCAAAGTGATAATTCAGGGTGTTTTTACCATGAATAGATCTTAGGACCTCTACCATAATCAACACAACCAAGAGGAAGGAGCTGGAATGAAAAATGAAGATGAAACAGAAAGGTAAACAGAAAACTAGAGAAGATAATATTTTAAGCCTGTCATTGCCACTTTGCCAAGTTGGAAAGAGCAACTCTCACAGACCTCATGTAATATATGAGGGCAGAAATGATATGAGGTAGCAGCATACCTAGAAGCAGGAGTTGCGACCAAGACATTAACCAATGGAGGAGTCAGTGGCGATCCCTTCATAAATGATGACCAGCTAGGCAAATGGTTAGGAATACTATGAGGTAGCTGATTGCAAGGTCCGCTCACATAACCAGGCCAGAAATAAGCTGAGGTATCAAGCAGATGTCTCGCAATACAAGCCTCAATGATCAGATGTCTTAAGTTACCAGCTGCAAGAAAACCCAAAATATGAACTGTCACTCACACACCAAAGAGGTATAATGGGGGGCACAAGACAAACATGAAATGACACTTACAAGAGCACCACATCTGAGGGAAAATGTATAAAAATACAAATGAACACAATTTCTCTATATTTATTCTTAAAATTTAAAAAGTCAAAACCCTCCATTTATTTTTATTTTAGGGCCTCCAACTATTTGATCTTAACTCTGCTCATGTCTGCATGCACTGCAAGAAAAAGGATACATCTCAAATGTGCAAATATTTAGATGAGTTCCTTCTGTAGCCAAACCCTTTTACAGATTCATATTATAAAAGCAATTACATACAACAGTTAGTGGGCAAGTTCAATTGGTATAATTTTTACCATCTAAGTCTAACTACTCAGCAGAGAGAGGAGCAGTGATGTGGTTGGTAAAGATGGTAGATTCAGCCTTGGGAGGGTTGAAAAAGCCAAACAAGAGGGAAGAAAAATCAAATGAGAAAAGTAACCATGTATCTGGGGGTCAGTGATTGGAAAATTCACCAAAGAGGGTGGTTGCCAGCGGTGAACAGTGCCTGTCAAGGAGAGAAGACACCAGAAACAGATCAGAAACCACGGACAAAATGGTTTCTTAAGAGAAAAAAATACAAATACCAATGGACCGTAGGCCCACCGAAAATGTATGGATTAAGATTGTCTTCTTGTTTGGCTCTAGATATCATGTCGAGAAAGAGAAAAACAAGAAGACATAGAATGAACCATCTTTAAATACGTAGTGGAGCTATCTATTTATAATGATGCATAATAATTACATAATTGTCAGTTATCTAAAACTATGGTAATTACATAATTATCCTATTTACATAGTTACCTTATTTACATACATTAATGTCAACAGATACAATTGAACACAAATTGTCTATAATTATTCTTAAAAGTTAACCCTCCACTTATTTTTTTAGGAACTCCAACTATTTGATCCTAACTCTGCCCCATGTCTGCATATACCGCAAGAAAAAGGATACATGTCAAATGTGCAATTATTTACATGAGTTGCTTCTGTAGCAAAACCCTCTTACATACTCATTATAAAAGCAATTACTTACAACAGGTAGTGGGCAAGTCATTGACATTCATAGATTCCAAGTATCCATTGTGTCCTGATATGAACAGAATAGCCTTGGCAGCAGCCTGATTGGCTACCCAAGTAACAGATTGAGGTGGATTGAGTAAGTCCTCATAATCGCCCAATAGCTTTAAGCTGGTAGCCAATTCCCCACGACACTCTCCCAAAGCCTGTTTGTCCTTCCTTTGATTTGTAGGGCTACGTTCAGCTTCTTCCATAAGTTCCCCTTCCTCTTCTTCAATAATATTAGCAACTACAAGGGTTGCAATGCACAATAACATACACAAGCAGGTATCAAGGCGAGGTACAGGACCCTCACTTGGATCCCTCTCCTAAAAAGTAGATGGGAAAACTGTAAGTCCCAAAACAAGTGAATAGAGTACAAGAACATGCTAGATGACTAGATTTAGTCAAGAACCAGTAAATCAGTTGAATGTAAATCATCCAACAAAAGCAAAACAGAATGGACATGCTGCAGTATCTTTTCTTTTCTTTTTTTTTATGACTGAATTTATCATATCGTAGGACTACATATTACACATGCCCAAGTTCATCAAGTAGTTTCTCAAACAGAAAATAGGAATAGGAAATCACTGATCTGCATTTGCTCTCAGGAATTCCCTTTGACCACAAGAAAAGAAATCATCACCTACAGCAAATTCTAGTTAACCAACCTCCCTTGGATCGGTCTTACTCTTACCCTTTGAACTAGTCGTAGTGCTGCAATCCATAAACCTAGAAAGGCATTGTGCCATGCAGTACCATTCACTGCGTGTAAAGCTTTCACCAGCCCTGCAATAAGCCAACAATCACTTTAACTAACAAACCAATTCACTTACAGAACTTAAGCTAACTAAGCAATTCACCTAAAGTAGGAGCTAATATACTGAAATTTTAACACACCGGTAAGAACTTCAACAGCACTATTTTCTGCGACGTGATGGCCATCCATTGCATCCTCGAGGATAAGATCAATAGGGAGCCAAAGAGAAGACCAACTATCGTGACGAGACTGAACGGCGCAAGATAACGGAGAGGCAGCCATGATGGCACTGAGTTCAAGCTTAGGCGTCGTTTTGGATTCATTAGAGAAAAGCTTAAGCTCATTAGAATTGAAATCGAAAGGAAAAAGTGACTCTGGAGTAACGTGTTTCAAGCTCCTCAACACCAAAGAGTTGGCCGCAAGTCGCTGCAGTTGGTGAACGAAAGGTGCCCAATGCGCAGGCCTACATGAAAGGAAATGAAATGGAAATGAAACGGAAATGAAATAAAATGAAGATCCTAAAAAGCTAGACGGTTACATGTTTCGATGAAGCAAGGAGAGAATCCTGGAAGTGACTTTGTCTTGAAGAAAGCGAGCAATAGTCTGAATAGCCATGGCGGAGTTCTTGGTGTGCAAAGCGTCGTTGAAGTTGGAGTTAGAAGGATCAAGGGGCAAATCAGGATGGGAGAACGTGGTAGGTTTATGTCCGAGCAATCCTTCGTCGTCCAAGGAAGCTTCGAGTAACTGGGAGACAACAGTGAAGACGAAGTGGACGAGAACGACACCGGGATGGGAATCGTAGAGTTGAGAAAAAGGAAGAACGTGGTGAAGAGAGAGCATGACCTTGTGATAATTGGGAGAATGGATGAGAGAGGAGAGAGAGAAGGCATGGCGGTTGAGGAGGTCGATGTAGAGGCTGTAGGCGGCGGGGTGGAGGTGGCGGCGGGGGAGAACGCGGTTGGAGAGAAGAGCGAGGACGAGGAAAGGAGGGACGATTCTAACGGCCATGGCTTTCTCGAGGAATTTCCAGGTGATAGGCACGTGATTGTCCCAACACACGTGAGAAACAAGACGGTGTGCGAGGTGTATGGAAGGCAGAGAGATCCCGGCGGAGTTGAGGGTTGAAGTGACCTGAATGGACCACAGCAGAGGGTCTGTGTTCTTCTTCTGCGCCCACTTGGTCACTTCCATCACTCCCTCCCACACCACACTCTCTTTCTCTCCCATTCCTTTTCCTTTCTCTCTTTCAATTTTTCAAAAGTCCGTTTCGGAGGCCTCCCTCACTCTCTTTTCAACTGCGTCTTTCAATTCTCCATTAAATTTCCATTCGTTAACTTTCTATTATACCCCCCCTCAGATACGACCAACTAGGGGCTCTGCCTGTAGACTTTTCAATTAATTAACTACATTAAATATATTAAATCATCTATTACTGTTGCAAAGCCATGTGTCTCGCCATTTCTAAGGACTCAATCAAACCATTTAATAAAGACCTTGTCTTGTTTCTTGTCTGACCAGTAACAATGACACCCAACATTAAACTAAGAATAATGTCGTGCTTTCTTGCAAGTTTTACTATTAAATAAAAATAAATATATTCAATGTATTAAAAATCATTAATAAAAAACAGTAGAGGAGAACAGTAACATTCAATGTCAACTTAAGAGGCAAGTTGTTTCTGCCTGGGGAGGGAGGGAGTGCAGTAGCACAGGGTGGTTTCGTCTCCTTTTGCCTAATATTCATGAATCTCTTCCTTTTCAATGCCAAATAATTTTTGACAAAAATTATTCCAAATAATTTGATTCACTAAGTATATGTTTTGAGCATTCATAAAATCAAACTAATTGCTTATTGCCATTACTGTTGTTCGCGTGAATTCTTCCAAACTACATGTTTATACGAAAGATTTGAGGGGGTATTGACCAGAGTCAAACACTTTTGGTTTCAGTTTCCACCATTTTTTTGGTCAATTACGGTGGGCCGGTGGCGACCGCAGAAGCCAACTAGAGATAAACACAAATGGACAAATAAAGAATCAATTTAGGGCCTGGGCCTGTTTGATTCCCGAATCGGGCTTCAACATAGGCTCGCCATATTTTTCACCTGAATTGACAAACGGCCAAAAACGCCAAAACAAAATATATCAACCACCAAATCAACCATTCAACCTTAACTGGGTTAGCTTTCTTGTATACAAGCATGCTCCTTTCTGAAACTTGCGTTGTAAGAATATTCAAGTAAGGATAATTTATCACTAAATATTAAATGTAAGTTTTTATATTTAATTGAGATTATTTTTAAGAGTTATTTTTTATTATCTTATATATTTTTTTCAAAAATATTTTTTAATTCAATCTTATTTTTAATTTTTTATAATTTATTTTTATTTAATAGAATGGTATATTTATTTAAATTTAATAATACTTCTAAAGTATAAAAGAAATTAATTAGCTAATTTAATATTTGCTTGTTATAAGCCAACAGGGGCATTGCAATACATCGCTTCAAGGTTCCTTTGTTTTAGCTTCTCTGTATTTGAGTTTGTTTGGTAGAGGTGTTTATGGGCTGATTTTATTTTATTTTATTTTATATATGGTCCTTTTAATTAATTATTTTTAGATTTTGGTGCTAGTAATCTTCAGGTTCATGCATCTTCCAAATTCTAAGTAGTAACCTTTTGATATAGTGCTCTTGCTCTTGCTTGTCAGTGTGTGAATAAAAAATGCCTTAAAAAATATAACAGCTAATTAACAATTGCTTCTCACGTGCATTGGGGAGCACAATTATTATCATTTTTATTTTTAAAACTGGGGAGCACTATAATTCAAAGAGCTATCTTACAGCACTTTGAAATAAGAATGCCAGTTGGAGAATTATCCATTAAAAAAACGTAAAAATACAAATTCATGAAATAGTTACTTTTTAGGCATCTTATCGACCCTTTTATGTTGAATTTAAGAAACATTCTTGGTGAAAGTTTGCTATCCATAACCTATATTTAGCCACTAACCCTTTTATAATCTTGTTTTGATCTCACACAACATAACAATGATCCCCTTTTCCCAAATTTAAGATGCTTTTTGAGTTGTAGTTCGTTTATAAGGACCTCAAATCCACATGTGGTTATATCCAAATTTCTTCTATCACTCTTGAAATTAGTCATAGTCACATCTTATCTGGTTTTCGGATTAGCCAGGTAATGTCCTTTTCCTTGTTCAAAATAAAGGGTGCGTTGAGAAGTGAATATCTTGATTACCAACTCTTGTGTGCGATCCTTGTCAAGTTTAGATTGGTCAATTTTGTTCAACAAGTCAAACAGGATAAAGCTATACTGAAATGACCATGCTGCTTTATGAAAATTATCAGTTTCCTACCAATGAAACATAAGGCTTTGTTTAAAAGTTAAATTTAGGAAAAAAAAAATATTTAATGATAACTTTCATTTAAGAATTTTTTATATATATATCCTCTGAAATTTTCAGAAATTCAATCAAATTAACTCAAATTGAATTATTTTATTTTTTTTATTTTTCCTTTCTTTCTCAAATATATTTTTCTTTCAAAGTTTCAGATAAAGTCTAAAGAAATTAAGATATTAACTTAACATTCAGACAACTGATCAGAAAAGTAGATGATCCTCTTTTTGTTTTAAATATGTTTTTTCTAACATTCTTGTATGCTTTATTGTGGTATTTTATGGGCTACAGGTTAACTACATTTTTGTTTTAATATAATATCAACCTAACGTTCTCCACGAGTTAACTACTTAATTGCTTTCTCTGCATAGATTTTCCCTAAAAATCAATAAATATGTTGAACAGCAAATGGTATGCAGAAAGTACCACATACCTTTCAAACAAACAAACAAAAAACGTTAAGTACTGCACGAGATCATTCCTCTTTTTTAGTTCTAATAAAAAAGTAATGTTATTTTTTATTCAAAATTTCACAATATTTTATATAATAAGAAGAGACATAGGAAGAGAGAAGAAATTAGCATGTGCAATAAAACGTTTAATTTGATAAAAAGAAATAGAAAAAAAATGTTAGTGAAAATTTTAAATGAGAATAGCATTATTCTTAATAAAATAAAAGATAAATTTTGTGAAAAAAAAGTAAAATGAAAAAATTGATCTGAAGTTTTTTAATTTCTTATTTTATTTGTAACTGATAAAGAGAAGAAATCGAGAAAATAATAATGCCTTCAGAGTATTAAAAAAACATATAATTTTTTTCAATAAAAAATATGCCTTTAATAAAAATAAATTTTATTTTCAAAACTAAATAGTTTAAATTATAATATATTTAAAATAATTTATTATTAAAATAAATAAATAAATGTATATAATTCATAATTTATTTTAAAATATATCATAATTTTATGAGTAAACATTTACTTTAATTCTTAAAATATATAATGTTATTAAAATTAATCTTTAAATTTAAAATTTTAAATAATAATTTTAAAATTAACAACTGTCAATAATTTAATTATTATAGTTTAAAAAATTTAAAATTAATTAATAAAATAATATTAAGTAATATGTTATAATTTATTTTAAATACAAAGTGACATTGTTTTAAAATTTTTTAAAAGTAACCTATTTTTACTCTTAACTTTTGAAATTTTTAAATAATAATACTACATCTTTATTTATTCTTCTATGTATATTTTTTAATGACATCTTTTTCCCTTCTTTCAACCATCACAAGACATCATTACGTTTATTTCTTAACAACTTGGTTAATCTCTCACAAATTTCTCAAATTTTTATTACATTCAAACGGTGTTTTGCCAACTTTCTACTTCTATAATTTTAATGAGGTAGATTAAAAAGTAAATATACTCTTATTTTTTACTTCAAAAATAATTTCAATGGTAAAAAATTCCATCCTTTTAAAGTTATACACGTATATATTTATTTAATATTGACTTATTGTTACATAGAAAATACAAGTGAAGGTCTAATACTTCTTTTTAACATCTTTAGGTTATTGGTATACCATTGCTCTCACACTTTAGCTGTGTATTAACCGTATCTGAGTCTTATACAACCATGTCATGTAAAAAGATAATATTATCTAGTCTTATTGTTACTTTATTAATACAAACACTAAATCCACATTGAAGTATCTTTAATATTTATTAAAAAGAGCGTGTATGAGTTAGTTTATAAGATAAATAATTCTATTTGAAGTGAACTGATAAAGTTAATGTTATATTAAAAAATATATAATTTTTTACATAAGAAATCCTATTAATATATCTTAAATAAAATTTTCTATTATATAAGATAAATAAGATAATTTAAATTTAAAAAATGAAAAAAGTTGACTATGCCCGCGGTGGGACGTTTACGGTAGCTGGCCGTCATCGACTGTGATCTTACGAAAAAGGTATATAATGCGTTTATTTTTTGCGTCCTTTCTTTATGCATTACATTATTTTATTACGATTTCCGACTCATGTCTGTAACCTTATGAAACACCAAATAGATCTTTCAAGAAATATAAAGTATATTTAAAGTTAAAACATTGCCTTATAATTTCTCTTTCATATACTATGTGTGATTTGTTTATTTATAGTATGCAGTGTCGTACCTTAGTTTACCAAAAAGAAAAACCACTGGTGTGTATGGTAAAAGAGGAAGAAGCCAAGAAAGAACCATTTTCTTGTTCTATATATCTCTCTCTTTGCATCCGTTGAATGAACCGTGTTGAGTATGGAAAGTGGTAGAGAGATGAGTAAGGAGGTGGCAGCACCACTGCTGAGAAAGAGTGAAGAAGAGAATAATGGAGTTGCGGTGGCATCAAATGATAGTACGTTCTGCCAAGAGCTTAAGAAGGTAAGTTCCATGGCAGCTCCAATGGTGGCTGTTACGGTGTCACAGTACCTTCTTCAAGTGGTGTCTCTTATGATGGTGGGACATCTTGGGATCCTTGTCTCCTTCTCTGGGGTTGCCATTGCTACCTCTTTTGCTGAAGTGACTGGCTTCAGTGTCCTTGTAAGCTCTTCTCTTTCTTATTTTCCTCTCATTCAATGCATCTCACTTTTTCATTTTAAAAAGTGTCATTAAGCCTTTCTGCTAAATAGTACCATATGTTTGTGTGGGTGGTTGTGGTTGGACTTGGATTCACCTCTTGTATGACCAAACTAGGCATCCATATCTATATTTTATTTTTTTTATGGAAATCTATTTTCTGATTCTTGGGTGAGGCCACTTGATCCAGCTACTATTAACTTCCTATTAGCCGGATCACATGTGAAAAGTTTAATGGGCAAATATTTAGTTTGACTCTCTATTGATTTACTTGGTTTTATTTTATAGGCAGACCTAATCAATTCACAAACTAATCCTAAGCAGATTAAAATGCTAAGTTAGCTAAATAGCATCCTATTGGTCATGTGTGTTATAAAAGTGCGCAGTGATTTGAAAACCCTTCTTTTATAGACTGGATCTGCACAAAGAGTTGTAAGTTGAGAGTTTGCATAACAATTAACGTTCTGGTCTAGCCTTAAATGATTATTATATTTGTTATCGACTTATTGCAGTTGGGAATGGCGGGTGCATTGGAAACTTTATGTGGGCAAACGTATGGTGCAGAGGAGTTTGGAAAGCTTGGAAACTACACATGGTGTGCGATTGTGACACTGATTTTGGTTTGTCTCCCGATATCTCTGGTGTGGATATTTACTGATAAAGTACTCTTACTGTTTAGTCAAGACCCTGGAATTTCTCATGCAGCTCGTGAGTACTGCATATACCTCATTCCGGGGCTATTTGGCTATGCTGTTCTCCAATCTTTGACTCGCTACTTCCAGACTCAGAGTATGATCTTTCCCATGGTTTTCACCTCAGTTACTGCCCTGTGTTTGCATATTCCTATTTGTTGGGCCCTGGTATTTAAGTTGGGATTAGGACACGTTGGAGCCGCATTAGCCATTGGAGTTTCGTATTGGTTCAATGTCATTTCTCTTGCAATTTATATCAAGTACTCTCAAGCTTGTCAAAAAACCAAGATTGTCTTTTCTAGTCATGCTTTACTTAGCATTCCAGAGTTCTTGAAATATGCTATCCCTTCTGGACTCATGTTTTGGTAAATATGTCATATAACTTTATTTGCATCCACCGTAATACCTCTTTTTATTTTCATTTTTATATCTTCATTTTCCAATTTTTTTTAGCTTTGAATGGTGGTCTTTCGAGCTCCTTACTTTACTTGCCGGCCTCTTGCCTAATCCTCAACTCGAAACCGCGGTTCTTTCTGTCTGGTGCGTGGAATCAATTTCTCATCCATTCTTCAAAGATTAAACCCTTCTTTTAGTCCCTGAGATTGTAAGCTTTGATGGTCACTTAAATGCTCTAATTTTATAAAATTCTTACGTTAGTTAAAGAGTAAAGTGAAAATTTTATAAAGTTAAGGAAGGATCAGAGTGACCGATGCTTATAATTTAACGACTAAAATGAGAATTTATTTATGAAGTAACGATCTTTCTAACTTGTATCATACCCTTGCAGCCTTAACACAACCACACTGCACTACTTCATTCCTTACGCTGTTGGAGCTTCTGCAAGGTTTGTGGTCTAAATATGTTGTTTTCTACTATCAAGTGCTGTGCTTGATTGCAATTTGTTGTGGTATTTGCAGCACTCGAGTTTCGAATGAATTAGGAGCAGGGAATCCAAAGACAGCTCAAGGTGCTGTTCGTGTGGTTGTGATTATTGGGATTGCAGAGGCGGTTATTGTCAGCACCTTTTTCATTTGTTTCAGACATATATTAGGATACGCATATAGCAGTGATAAGGAAGTTGTGGATTATGTTGCACAAATGGCTCCCCTTCTCTGTGTGTCTATTAGTGCCGATAGTCTAATTGGAGCACTTTCTGGTAAGTTCAAAATCTTCTTCTGTTGTGATGTGTTGTGCTGTGCTGTGCATGCAACTATATGTAATATAAAAACATTCTTGAATCTTGATCTTATCTATCTATTTGCAGGGATTGCAAGAGGAGGAGGATTTCAGCAAATAGGGGCTTATGTGAACCTTGGAGCTTATTATCTTGTGGGAATTCCTATAGGTTTGTTATTGGGTTTTCATCTGCAACTAAAAGCCAAGGGGCTTTGGATGGGAACTTTATCAGGGTCTGTTCTTCAAGTAATTATACTTGCTATTGTAACAGTATTAACTGATTGGCAGAAAGAGGTTTGTTTTATTTCTTATGTATATATGCTTTTCCATTACAGCTATTTTTATTTTTTTTTAATTTTAGACTCGTTTGCAAATGGAATGTTGTGAATGATATAATTAAGGGACGTAATGGCCAGCTCAAAAAGATTTTTTTGTTGTTGTTTTGCAGGCAACCAAAGCAAGGGACAGAATAGTTGACAAGTCAATTATAACCCATAATGCATTCGCATGAAGATTAATAAAACTGAAGAATAAAAACGTTAGAAGAAAAAATATTAATGTACTGACAATAGACAGTGTGTCAGGTTTCTTTATGGGGGTGTTTTGCCTTTTATTATCTTTTCCTGATGTTTTTGTGGGTTTTAGTTTTTCTTTTCTTTTTGAATGGTGAGTGAAGAGGTTTAATTACATTAACATAGAGAGACAACTTGTTTTGTGTATATGTAATTTTTGTACTAGAATTATGCCTATGGCCGATTACAGATGCCACAATTTTATCCTTAACATGCTTCGGTTACATGGATGTTTGATGAAGGTTTTATATCTCGTACTTAATAAATGGACAGAATATTCTCCTCACATAGGACAAAAGGTAGCCCCAGTCTACAATAAATTTTCTGCCTTTTTACTACTTCATTAGACTCGAGTATATACGATGGTTTCCTCAACTGAATCATGCACAAATGAAATGTTTTAATTCATGTGTGTCATTACTTGTCATCAAGGCAACGTTTTTCTTAGGTAAAAAAGGCAATGTATTTGTTATACCAAATATTTTTATTTTCTGATACTTGATTTAGCATCCTTTATCTCAGATTAAATCAGATTTAAATGATCTTGCAAGCAGCAGACTACCGTGCACAACAAACTATATGTATCCCTCACAAAGAGAAAGGTTAATGTATAGTACATTATTTTTTCAACAAAATGAAATTTATATATTAATCAAAGAGGAATGCTAGCTAGTCAATATAACCAAATTATCAGCAACTTTTTAAAAAAGGGCATAAAAGCAACCTTAACAGGGAATTTCACAATTCCATGGCTCACGAGGCCTTGGACCACCCCGCGTCTTATTTGAAAATCTAAAACTTACGTTACATTATATTTCAATCTATAAATTATAATTTATAACCTTAAAGTAAATGTACAGAATGAATTTGATGTATAATAAAAACACAAAAAAACTTCAATCATATACAGATCACTTATATCATGAAAAAATTTTAGATGATCCTGAGATACTATGGTTTCGATTAATGAAAAAAGTAATATGTATGTATTTTTAAGAAGATATCACACATGTCTAAACGTGAGTATCTATGATCACATCTCGGACCACCTAACAAAAGATAAGAGTGGATAAAGTCTCCCTCATGCAAAATTCCTCGTATCTAAGGATAAATGGGCATCATTTTTTGTCACGTGGCAGATTTTCAATGAACGTAAAAAGAAGTTGGTCGAACCATTGACCCTCAATTCAACATGAAAGTGCTTCCCTTCCACACAAATCTCGATTGTTTTCGAAGCAAACTAGGGAGTTCTTTTAAACCTTCATGTTCAATTACTGAATGTTTATCATCTTAAGGTTTTCCCATCGGTTAATTGTAGCATATTTAAATTGACAAGTAATAATAAACCATGCAATCAAATATACTGGTATATATTTCATAGTACGTTAGCAAAATAATAATAATTTGCTTTTACTCAAAAAGTACCTAAAACTTTATCTATTTCAAATGGGCATGTATAGTGCATTAATAAATTCATCACGTGCATCATTTTGACGTTCTCATGTTAATTTTTTGGTTTCTTGTGCCATGAAGAGATAAGGACACGCAAGTAAGAGTAGCAAAACTGACTTCTACAAGTCTCTTCGTTTATCTTTCAAAAATTTGCACACTTTTCTACACCCAAAACTACTTTTTAACTGAAGTTTATCGAAAGGAGAAATGTTTGTTTTATTATAGGAAATCGATGTTTGAGCAAAACTATGAATTTTTAAGTTTATTAACGTGCAGATAATTTTGATTTTTTAATTTTAATTCTTATATATATCTTTTTTAATTTTTTAAATATTCAAATTAAATCTTTTATCTTAAAATTAAGACTTTATTATATTTTAAGTGTTTTTTGTTTTTATTTAAATATTTACATATATTTTTTATTCAATTAAATGTTATATTTTTATTAACCATTGATAAAAATTTTAGAATAAAAACCGAATTTAAGCATTTAAAGAATTTAATATAAATAATTAAAAATAATGGAATCAATTAAATTGTATATCTATTAAAATATAGAAACCAAAAGCGCAATTAAAATTAATTTTTATAAAAATATTATTGTCTCTAGTTTGAAACATGATTTTTCTAGAAAACTTGTTATGATATTATTTTAATAAAATATTTTAAATTTATTTTTATATTATTTTTATATATAAAAATAGTTTTAGTAGAATTAGTATAAAATAAAATAATAAGTTCTAATAATTTTAAAAGGTAAATTTGAAAAAATTATATAAATATTAATATATTTAATGTCATCAACAAAATTAACTATAATAAATACATTTTTCTAGTATTGTAATTTATGTCTGCAAAAACAAGTCTTTTTTGACGTAGTATTTCTTATTTTGATAAAAAAAAAAGTAATTTTATTTATTCTAACCCATTTTATATTAAAAAATTATTATATATTTAAGATAATAAATACTTCATGCAATAATAATAATAATAATTAGGGATGATGTTTGTTCGGTTTTATTGAGTAGTGGACAAGTAAAGAAATCATACACTTCAGATTCCAACAAATTGACTTGATTTAGTTTGACTTTTGAAAAAGTAAAGATGCTAAATAATTTCTTTTTGCTATGAAGGATACCAAATAATTTCTTATTTTTGTGAGAGTTTAGTTCTTTGATAATTTTTTTTTTTTAAAAAACATGATTACTCTCTTAAATGTTAAAAAGTGTCTTTTGTACAAAAAGGAAAAAAAAGTAAAACATATCTATCATAATCCAGATAGAAAATTATAGCACTTTCTAATACTTTGAGCAAATCCATATGCATTTTTCTTATACTCATGCTAACTATTCTTTCTAGATCATGATAAAGAGGATCGTAGCAACATGATCTTTTACCTAAATTTTTTTTTATGCACAAGATTCAATAAAACGGCAAGCGCAGAGCGTACTTCTTTCTAGTTAGAGACTAGAGGATAATCATTATAAATAAAGCTTTCAGAGAGAAAGACTTAGAATGAACTCATGATGTATGAAAACACAAATTTTATTTCCGTTTGATATACTTTTAAAAGGCAAGATTTCCTCCTTATATAGAGGAAGGAAAGCAAATATAATTATTACAAGAAACAGGTTTGGATAAGAATCCAACCTTTTACAAAGTGCCTTTGAGCAAACAAACAAAGAAGAAAAATTTTAGTACATATAAGTCACACTAAAAACATAATACATAAAGATGCTTTATTACACATAAAGTGACTTTTTCAGATATTCTTTAGTCCTTGCAGATTGGTTCATAGCTTGGAGACAAATTTGGGTCATCATCAGTTCCCCATCCTTCTTGATCCATTACCGATTTGTATGGATCCTGAGAATCCATTATTGTATCAACAGCATGTGATGATTCCGCTTCACCACTAATTATGAGATGACTTTCTCTTTCCTAATTTCCAAAAATAATGCTGGAAGATATCAAAGGTGGAAATACTTGTTGGACTCTGTTCCACATATTTTGATCATGAGGGTCTAGAGGATAAATAATATCCATAGGTTTTAACTTTGTACATATGAAATTTACTTTGATCATTTCTTCCTGGGCTCCATTTTTAACATGAAAATGGGTGATCAGATCAGCTTGATGAAATTGTGGTCTTTCCAATTTTATTATATCTCTTATACTTTCATAAGTGTTCCAAAATATAACTTAATTTTGAGTATAAATTAATTGAGAAACTGGATGTTTGAAATAAGGTCTATGAATAATTACCACAATAATATTTTTTGAAAACTCAGGAGGAGGTAAATTAATTTCTTTCCAAATACACTCTCTCTCCATTTCAGATTGAATATCTTTCTTCCAATACTGAATAGGTTGAAATTGGGTTAAGAATTTCCATAACAGGGATGACTCATGCAGAGTTTCTATTTCCATTTCCGTATGACGTGATGGTATCATTGAACTTAAGATACCATTGTCTGGAAGCTTGTTTCAACCCATATATTGATTTCTTTAACTTACGCACTATACTTTCTTTACCTGCGGTCAAGAAGCCATCTGGCTTATCCATATAAACTTTCTCTTCCAAGTCTCCATTCAGAAAGACGGTCTTTACATCTATTTGGTGGAGCTCTAAGTTATAATGAGCCACCAAAGCCATAACAATTCTTAAAGAGTTCTTCTTTGAAACTGGAGAAAAGGTCTCTTTATAGTCTATGCCATCCTTTTGAGTGTATCCTTTAGCAACAAGTCTAACCTTGTATCTCTCAACGTTGCCTTTTGAGTCACGTTTGGTCTTAAAGACCCATTTACAACCGACTCATTTTGAACCTTCAAGCAACTCGACTAGATCCCATATCTTGTTGTCACTCATTGATTTTAACTCTTCTTTCATACATTCAACCACTTTTCAGAATTGTAACATTCCATGGCCTGCTTAAATGAGACTGGATCCTCATCAATCCAAAAATCAGAGAATTAAACTTAGTGCAAGAAGCATCAATAACCAAAGTAAATTTAATAGAGAGAAAAACAAGAGAAATTAATTTTATAAATAAAGAAATAGAATATAAAAAAATTGGAGAACAATTTGAAAGTAAAAAAATTAAAAAAATCATACAAGATTTTGAAAAAAGAATTACTAAAGAAATTTGTAATTTAAATCCTATAGCTTTTTATCATAGAAAGAAGTATGAGATAGACTTACCATATGAAGAAGGGTTTAGTGAAACAAAAATTTCCGCAAAGGCAAGACTAATACAAATGAACAAAGAACAATTAGAATTTTGTAAACAAGAATTACAAGAATATTTAGAAAAAGGATTATAAGACCCTCAAAATTTCCATTGAGTTGCATTGGATTTTATGTTAATAAAGCTTCAGAACAAGAAAGAGGCGTTCCTAGATTGGTTATAAATTATAAGCCTCTTAATAAAGTATTAAAATGGATAAGGTATCTAATACCAAACAAAATCTTATTAAAAGACGTGTCAATGCCAATATCTTTTCAAAATTTGATATAAAATCAGGATATTACCAAATATCAGTAAAAGAAAAAGATAGATGTAAGACGAC